TGACGTTGCAGCCAACGTGAAATGAATTTAAGAGCTATTCCCACCAGCCCCGATACACCGGCTGCTACCGACCCCAGGTGCCCCGAGGTTTGTGCTGGTTGTCACGAGTCTATCCTGTTGACGACATTCACGCCTCTATGGTATTTTTTGCGCAATTCTAGTCTCACACCACATTCAATTTCCAGTTATAGTTTGACATGAAATGCACGTGGACCCGGTTTTTATAAATATCTCTTCATCCAATGATCCAATCGATCTCAAACTGTGCAAGTGGATGTTTTGTCAGACAACCTAATCACATTGTAAATCACCGATTTTATGCATTTGTATTAAAGAATCTGTCTATGTAACTGTCAACAAAATAAACAGCAGAACGCAGACGGCTTGCAGAGGGAGGGAGCCAATGACCTGTAACAGCGGCAGTGTTGGGTCATAAAGGTCAACGTTCGTCAATGTAGGTCAGCTATGCACGTGACAGGCGTGAAGAGGTGTCACAGGTCGTGAATAGGGTAAGGTGGGTGCCAACTGTTAACCATCATACAGAGTTTGTTTCTCTGAGTTGTTCAACATTAACCACAAAACCCATTAGTGAGAATTATTCTGTAGGTTAAAATCTTTAAATTTGTTATGTTAATGTCATATTTTGTTTATGCAGTACCTAAGTGGAAATGCATTTAAAGAACACAGAAAGTATATTTACACTAAATCATTAATCGGACCACCTATGGTTAGAACTCAACAACAGTTAAAGCCCCGTTCCCTCGGACACAAGCACACACAATCATGCACACTCATTGAAGAAAAGATAGAATGAAGACAAAAGTGTTATGTTTTGATGTTGTTCACATTCCAAATTAAGCAATGCATTTTTAATAGCTTTAAGCATATAGATAGTTAATATTTATATTTTCATGATAATTTTATGTGAAATGAGTGTTTCATGTTACACTATAAGTCGTTGGAATTAGTCAGTGCTGTCATTGTTAAAAGAAGTTATATTTCTTTGAGCATATCTGGCTGGATACTATTATTATCTGTAAATTAAACTTCATCAAGTTCACTCTATTCTTCCACAGAGGAGTCATCAGTGTCCAGACGAATGACAACTGGATTAACTGTTTGCTCCTTCAAGCCATCTTTGAGCCAGTACTCTTTCTCCACCTTCTTGACATGTTCAACACATGCATGCCAGCGTGCAGTGTCAATGTCACATATAGCAGTGTTGACAATGTGCTTGACATCATTCAACTTGAATGATTGATTTTTCCGGGCCACTGTACTTTTAAGGTCTCCCCAGATAAGTCGATTGGGTTGAGATCACAGTGGTACGCGGTGGTAATCTCAAGACCTCAAGATGTTGTCAATTTATGGCAAAGAGTACAACTGTGGTTTAGTGGCCTTAATTGAAAATTGTATATTGTTATTTGTTAGCCATTGCTGCATATCTGACTTCTTTGTATTGGAAGTTGGGCAACTATTGTTTGGATCTCGAACACTGTGATAGGGAGCATTGTCCATGACAACAAGACTTTTGTAAAGGCAGAGCTGGCAACAATTGTTTCAACATACTGTGTGAAAACCATTGAGTTATTTCTGGTTGATAGTCCCTACCATCAAAGATCACACCCAGGTAGGAATCCACGGTGGGAACCAGTGAAGAATGATTAAACGTTCACCTTTGCCAGTTGGTATTTTCCTACCATCACTGGGATCAGTGGGTAACCACTGTCTGGCAGCAGTATGGTTTGCATTGACCCAGGTCTCATCCAGATATATAGGTTCGAACCCATCCTCTCTTGCCCGCTTAATTTCTCTCAGATAGTTACACCTTATTTTCACAATATCAGATCTCTCACACATTACAAGTTTCTGGTTTGCTACCTTCTTGTACTTGTATCCATATTTGAGCAGTAGTTTGCTTAGTATAAACCTAGAAACATTAATGTCGTGATCCTCTGCAAGGATGTGTTTTAATTTTCTTGTGGACAGGTGTTCAATTCTAGCAAATAGCCGGCGAATGACATCTCTGATGACCCGGATGTCAAAAGAATCTAACTTTGGATGCCTACCTTTTTGTACAAGGTTTTGTTTCTTGGTTGTTGGTTTATTTTTCACACTTTTTAGCATGATTTTCTTTTTCATGCCAGGAGCAAAAGTTGTACGTTTCATGTAATCCGACACCTTATAAATCGGTTTGCTACGTTTGCTCTCTTTTAAAAAAAATTAAACACATTTCTAATTAAACGTTCAGCATCATCTGAATAAGCTTTCATGATGACAGCTAGAAGTAGTCAATGTGAATGATCCAAACGGTCTATCACTGTGCAGTGCACAGGTAACTATCATGAACTGCACGTGCATTTACCTTTATGACCCAACACTGCCGCTGTTACAGGTCATTGGCTCCCTCCCTCTGCAAGCCGTCTGCGTTCTGCTGTTTATTTTGTTGACAGTTACATAGACAGATTCTTTAATACAAATGCATAAAATCGGTGATTTACAATGTGATTAGGTTGTCTGACAAAACATCCACTTGCACAGTTTGAGATCGATTGGATCATTGGATGAAGAGATATTTACAAAAACGGGTCCACATGCATTTCATGCCAAACTATAGAGTTTGATGTCACTTATTTGTTGCAAACGAAAGCCATCCACGGTTTCCAGTGTTTTGACTACTTCGTCCATGGCCGAATACAATCCTATCCTTATATAAAATAAGTTAGAAAATAATATTTAATTGGTTTTCAGTTAATCTTTGATTGATGTACCTAAGGCTCATAAAGTTTAGATTTTCGTATAAATTAACACCAAGGATTAAAGGGATGCCATTCGTTTATATTAAGATAAACCTAAGGGTATTGATCCTTGTCGTTTTTTAAATACGCCAATTTTGATGTTAATGTTCATTACCCCAGCATATTGTTAACCTGTTCAAAAGTACCAGATCTTCCTCGGGGGATCTACAAGATAAACTTCTATCATGAGTGTGGTTTTTAAGTTTATGGGTAGGAAAACATACAATTGGTAATCAGGTATGTCGGATGTCAAAATTGCAGCAAGGTCGGTGGGGGCTAACACATTGCCGGTATGACCTGGTATTCACAAAACTTGTATCGTATTATCAAATTTCGGAGTAAAGGACGTGAGAATAATTCTGTTGCTCTCTTATACGTTACTTCGGAGACATAATCATTTTTTAATGCTATATTGGGTGAGTCCCTGGGTCTCTTTGAAATATCCCAGTGTCACTTCTCGCCACATGTACACATTGTTTGGTAAGTGAAAAGCGTATAAGGTATTTTCCTTGCTGGGTTGATCGAATTCTCTTGTGTCCCTGAGATCATAGCGCATTTTGCAATGTCCATGATATTATATGATAATTATGATAATTTTATGAAATAGATTTCAATTGGTTTTCCAAAAGTGTTTCGTGCATGAACTTCAAGCCAACGTGATGTGAATTTATCGGTAAGAAAATTTTGTTGAGTGAAATTTTATTTTCCAAGGTAACATTGACCCCTCGAGACTCGTGTAAGCTGTCGTGCTCCTCTGTATGTAAATTGCACAAACGTGATGTTGATGTTTTTTAGTCCAATGGAGTTTGACTCCCATCACAATTATGACATTATCATTGGGACTTGCCCCAGTACTTTAAAAAAAACCCAGGCCATTGTCAACATCAAAAACATAGGCAAAGATTGTTTGAGGGTATCAATCAGATCTGCTTTGTTTCCGTTCACAATTAATTCAAATAGAACTTCCAGCTATCCAGCAGACGATGGACTGAACTGGGACGGCATAGTCGAACCCACCCCCATCTTGTATATTTCAAAAGTCGAAAAACAAAACGATTTTGCCATCAACGTGTAGGTCCTATACGATGGGAAAACGAATCCTCTCGTGATCTACTAAGGTCCGGACGCGGCCGAAAAGTTTCTTACTTCCTGCAACGCGAAGAAGAGATCATCAGGAAAAATTTATACAGAATCATCCCCATGTGCATGACATTGGACGACTTGCGAGTTCATAAGAATGCCACTCATTGCCACGTATGCAAACACCTGCTCAAAGGCGATTCGGTGAGAGATCACTGTCACGTCAACTGCGGTGAGCACAACACGTGCAACTCAATCCCAAAATCATACCCATTCACGTGGTGTTGCACAACCTTCGCAGATACGATTTGCACCTCATCACGCAAGTCATCTCGAAAATTGAAGGCAACATAAACTGCATCCTGGAGAACCTAGTGAAAGCGAACGACCCGATACCTTCTACATAAGCAATCGATACACTGACGTGGCGACTCGGCCACTGTTGCTGAGAAAAGGCGTTTATCCGTACCAGTTCATGAACGACTGGTCTAGATTCGACCAAACGCGATTACCTCCTATGGACTGCTTTTACAGTCACTTGACTGAAAATATTCAGAAAACCTGATTGAAACAATACGACTTGGATCCCACCTGGTATTACACCAGTCCCGGTTCTCTCCTGGGATGCCTTGTTGAAAAAGACCAGTGTGGATTTGAAACCTTCGACTACGACATGCACCTGTTTATCAAGAAAGGTTTGAGAGGTGGGATTTTGATGTCTGCTTGGCGCTACGCCAAATCCAACAAGAAGCACGTGGACGGCTACGACTCGAGCAAACCGACCAAACCGATTCTCTACCTCGACGCAAACAACCTGTATGGCGAGGCATACTGTCAGGGTGGCGGTTCGCAAAAAATATCGTGATTGGGACCTGATATCGTACCACCATTCTATATACTACTCAACTAGTATTCCAAAACCTATGGCAAGGTATATTATTTGAAGTTAACACCGGAGGCTTTTAAATCAATGAGATTTAAAGAGTCATAACATGACTACAAGACAGAAATAATGTTCTTGAGATGCATATAGAAGTTGGTATTCAAGTATAAGACAAAATATTATGGATGTCAACTTCTTTATTGTATACATATTCAACTGATGAAAGGGCAAGGAAAAGCCCAGAAACGTTGTGCATGCAATAAAGAAGAAGTTGACATCATAATATTTTGTCTTTAAACACAGAAATAGATGTAACATTCAAGCTTGTGCTCACACCTTGAGATCGAAAGGAAAGAATTGGGCCTGAAAAGCAGCCAGACAGTGATGTGTGTGTAGAAGGCGACATGATGATCACAATGTGAAGCAGTCAATAACAAACATCAGTTACAATTATCTTCATAAATCTCTTCCCTACTATTCCACACTACACATCTTTCTTTGTAGGTCCAAAATGAATTTTCCAAAAACATTCGGTCCAAATCGGTCTTGGTGACAAACTGTCTTCAGACGCCGAACACAGTAAGAGACGGAAGTTCCTGCTTGGTCGGTACTTGTGTGCATGTACCATGGGCACAGTTCCATAATGTTCCCGACGACGTATTAGAGATCTTCAGTTTGCACATCAGATTTAGGCAAGTCCACTCCCACGGTGGTATAGACATGACGAGACTCTGGAACAGCAATGTATATATATGTATTACTGTTGTATTGAGGTACTGAGCAGAAAAGTCGGCCATTTTGTTTTTATGACGCCATCACAACGATGTGTGAACTTTTTGTGACCTAATCTATGTTGATAGTGAGTTTTGAACCTATAAACCCCATCCCCCTTTTGGATGAGTCACCTTCTGGCCCAGGTGTGTGACCTTTAGGTTGACCTTAGTGGTCTGTGATAGTAATATCCTCTATTTTGTTTTATGACATTATCACACGGTTGTGTGATCAAATGTATATAAGTTCATTCTAGGTGGGCCCATGACTCCATCACCAGGCTCAATTTTAGTGGGCCATTCAGAAGTTGGTTCCTTTTATTGAATTTTCAACTTAGAATTAATATTACAATATGAATATTAGGTGGATTTAGACCGTCATTTAGGGAGAATTGTGTGACGGAATTAAATACAGGAAATAGACCCTCAAAAGCAGTTGAGGACTGGTGAGTGAGTTTAGTTTTACGCCACTCGCAGCAATATTCCAGCTATATGGCAGCAGTCTGTAAATAATCGAGTCTAAGTAGCATGATGCATGTGAATCATGTTCAGTTGTGTGTTGAGATGGCACCTATGGAAGAGTACTTGAATAGGATATATTATGATCCAGAACATCCTGGTGGTTATGCTGGACCCAAGAAACTGTACGAAGCTGTGAAAGCTGAGGGTGAGTTTAAAATTGGCTTACATAGAATTAGGAAATGGTTGAAAGGTCAAGACACCTATACCATGACTAATCAATTTAGGAGAACGTTTCCAAGAAATGAGTATGTGGTCGAAGGTCTTGATCTCATGGATATGGTTTCACTGGCAAAGTAAAACAATGGTGTGAAGTATATATTAGTCATCACTGATTTATTTTCACGATTTCTATGGGTGTATCTGCTGATGTTAACAAAGTGTCAAGAAGTGGTGAAAGCACTGAATGAGTTATGGAATACACAAGATTGTTGACCTGGTATTTTTCAATCTGAGATGGGCTCAGAATTTAAGAATCGATAGGTTGAAAGACTTTTTGAAAAAGCACTAGGTAACTCAACTGTTTACACTGAATGAAACCAAGGCCCTCTATGCTGAGAGTCATTAAAACCATTAAAATAAAACTCTATAGATATATATGAACCATACTAAACATAGAATGTTAGGACAGTCTCCTGCTAGTGTAAATCATAAAAATGAAGATGAAGTGAGACTCTCACGGTATTTGATTAAACTCCCAAATGTTAAACATTGTAAAAAGAAGTTCATCTTTAAAGTGGGAGATAAAGTTCGAATAAGTTATTTAAAAGGAAAATTTGATAGAGAGTATCAAGAGAAATGGTTTGGTGAAATCTTTACAGTAATAAGAAGATATTGGTCTCAAGGCAACGACGTCTACAAGCTTAAAGATTGGGGTGGCAATCCTATCGAAGGTGCCTTTTATTCATCAGAGCTACAAGCAGTGGTGAGGTGAGGTGAAATTGGGTTTTACGTCGTGCTTGAGAATATTTCGCTCATATGACGACGTGCATGCGTGTGTATGTGTATGTGCGGCTGCTTGTACTAGCCCAGACTTAAGCTGGTTTTATAGTGCTAGCCCACTGAGATACCATGCCGCAGTGAAGCAGGAATACCCCACTCAGACACATTATACTGACTCCAAGCCGACCAGTCCTTGTTGTACCCATTAATGCTGAGCGCACAACAAGTCTTTTGGTATGACGCGGTCGGGGATTGAACCCGCGACCTTCCGGTCTCCGGATACTTGTTACCTAACTGTAAGATTAAATCTAAACATGGATAGATACATTATGATCAGAAGTACAGATATCCCAACAAAAAACTTTTAACGTCAGAGTGGGTTTGAATGAACCATTACATCATGACCAAAGGTGCAGGATAGGACTAACAGAAATATCTATATTGTCCTGGGACATAGACAAAAACTCGGAATGTTGTGACATTTATACCTATTCCTCATTGTGCGATTCATCGTATGTTGGAGAAACTAAACAGCCATTATTGAGACATTTATGTCTCATTGGAAACCGAAAAGAATGTTCTTTTTCATTTTTTCAGTGTCAGTATGTCCCTATGAACCTCAGAGATTTACAGACTCTTGATATCTATATAAAAGTCCACGAGGGCAATCCAGCTTCATTTATCCGTGGACCAGTGACAGTGACACTTCAACTCAAGCTGCTCCTGTTTTGGTTTTCATCATGAATAATCCGCAATACAAACTTTATGTACCGATGCTGATAAATGGACATCATTCTATAATATGTGGAGGAGAAAACCAGAGTGGAAGAAAGACAAATGGAAAGAACCAGAAACCACAGAACAGCCTAAGATCTATTGTATTACCCCTATTCAACAAGTGGTCAAACAGGCCAAGGCTCTTATTCAGTTGCAGAAGAAAGGGGGATCTAAAGCTGATAAAATGATTTCCTCCTCCCAGAGTCCCATGAAGAAATGGAAGACAACGTTTTAGACAAAAGCAGCCAGTAGACAGGTTAGTCGTCATTTAGACTCGATGCAGTCAACAACGTGTCCCGTGTGCAGTCTCACGTTTTGTTTTCAAGAAGGGATGTTATGCTTAGACATCTCAGGATTCAACACAGACGAGCAACACAGCCACCACCACCACTACAAGTACCATCACCTATGATGCAACCAGTGCAACCACATTCATCAGAAGGTACTACCAAGTCATTGGAACAATTTAGGCTACTATATCCATTCACCATGAACGTGTCAGGGCAAACCTCCTGTGGGAAAACGTACTTAGTGAAGCAGCTTCTAGAAAGGATGAACATTAAACCTTATCCTGAACGTATTATATGGCTCTACAAATGATGGCAACCACTGTATAATGCCGTTCAGACATGTGTTTATCCTTACGTTGAATTGCTTCTCACCTCGAAAAGGATGCGTTTCTGGACCCCAGTGTTGTGAACATCGTTTTGCTTGATGACTTAATGTCTACTGCCAGCAAAGATCCACGAATTACAGATCTTTTTTATTGAAGGAAGTCATCATCATAATGTCTCAGTGATAGCCTTGAACCAGAATTTGTATTACAGTAAGGATCCTACACAACAAAGGAACTGTCATTATCTGTTCAACAACCCTATCGATAAACAACCCATGATGACTTTGGCGAGGCAAATGTATCCGGAAAATTATAATTATTTCATGGAGCCATTTCAAAGGGCTACCCACAAAACCTTATGGGTACTTGTTGGTTGATCTAAAACCCCAGACACCTCCCCATTTGCGACTTTGTCCCAATGCATTCAGTTGAAAAGGAGACCTCCAAGGTAGGACAATTCAGTCCGAGTTAGACTTTCAGAGTGAGCAGACGTGTGAAGAAAACCTCCAAACAATGCCATCTTGTGATGACTGTGGACTCATGTTTCAAGACGTGCATGATTTGGAAAAACACAGAAAAAACTGGTGTCCCAAAACGTCCTCAGTGGGTCCACTTGGAATACCCCAAGTGGGTTTCAAAAGGAAGTGGGAGAAAGACGACAACTTCTCTGCTGTGAAGGGACCACGTCCGCAGGTGAACTGTGACTATTGTGGTCAAGTGTTTAGCAATAACCACAACTTACAAAGACATTTACACGATAAACAATGACCTGAAATGGAAAATGATAATGATGATGATGATGATGATGATGAATCGTTAAGCAATGTCACAGACAACATGAAAAAGAGGAAAAATAAGATAGCTGAGCAAGTATGACAGCTGTACATGAAAAGAGGTTTAAAACGAAGACATGATAAAAGCCAAACTGATTAAATTAATATGAATCACTTTTAAAGAGATGTATGCACGATTTATTACTTACCTGTATCATATGCAGTGGGGTCCAAAAAACACAAGAAATACTGACTTGAATAATATGTATCATGAAGTGTTTTCAAAACTGTACAAATATAAATTTTGGGTGGAAGGCTTGATTGAAGATGACAATGAAGACAACATATCTGAGAGTGACGCATCTGGACAGGAGGATGAGTGTGAGTGAGTGAGTGAGTTGGGTTTTACGCCGCTTTTAGCAATATTCCAGCAATATCACGGCGGGGGACACCAGAAATGGGCTTCACATAATTGTACCCATGTGGGGAATCGAACCCGGGTCTTCGGCGTGACGAGCGAACGCCTTAACCATTAGGCTACCCCACCGCCCCGACAGGAGGATGAGGAGGGGCAATGAGACAATGTAATTCACAAAAGATGTTAAGTAGACTTTGGGAGTGCTCCTATACTATTGTCTACTGATGAAAACGGAGCTAATGAATATGATTGAAATCTGTATATCTTTCTTGTTTCTTGATGTATATCTACTTGCTCATTGGCATTAGACAGCTGTTCATTGTAAAATTCTGTATTCTACAAGTGATAAATAATATCAATTTCAGCCTTTACCCTATTTCACTGAATACATTTAACCTACAATACAGTTCTTAACACCAGAGGTCTGCACCTTTTCATTCAGAACAACCCCATAAAGTACTATTACCAGTCACATGCTGTTTAAACCAGTGTGACATAAAAGTAGATTTGTGCTTCATTACAGATCAAACAAATGTTGATCACGTTATTGTGACATTTGTCATTGTCCAGCTACTTGTTCAACCACTTGATACTTAATTCACCATACGTGACGTTGTAACAAGTTATTCAGTTTAGTGACCACCAGTCCTCAAGACCTGTGAAGGTCCGGGTTAGAATATTGATCTTCAGTAACCCATGCTTGTCGTAAGTGGCGACTAACGGGATCGGGTGGTCAGGCTCACTGATTTGGTTGACACATGCCATCGATTCCAAATTGCGCAGATCGATGCTCATTCTGTTGATCACTCGATTGTCTGGTCCAGACTCGATTATTTACAGACCGCCTCCATATAGCTGGAATATTTCTGAGAGTGGCGTAAAGCTAAACTCACTCACTCACTCACCAGTCCTCAACTGGGTAAGACTTCTGCCCGTATCACACCTAAATTTAAGGATGAGGAAAAAGAATAGAGTGGCATTTTAAGAAGTAGAATATGTCTTTCAGTATGTTCAGATACAATTAAAGAAACATGTTAAAACTCATCCTTATCAGATGAAGAATATATATTCAGGTGATATGATTTGACCAGAATGAAATTTAAAGGGGGATGCGGGCAGAAGTCTTTCCCTCAACTGCTTTTGAGGGTCTATTTCCTGTATTTAATTCCGGTCACACACTTCTCCCTAAATGACGGTCTAAATCCACCTAATATTCATATTGTAATATTAATTCTAAGTTGAAAATTCAATAAAAGATATAAATAATTACAACGTATCTATGCATCAAATTTATAATATGATGTTTGCTGTGTGAACTCAACACTCGAGTCAGAAAATCAAACTCATACCACTCTTATTCATAAAATAATTAAATAATAATCCAGAATTGAAAACATGGACCCAACTTCTGAATGCCCACTAAAATTGAGTCCGGGGGATGGAGTCATGGGCCCACATTTTGCCACACCTAGAATGAACTCGGGTATACATTTGATGACACAACAGTGTGATAACGTCATAAAACACAATAGAGGATATGACTATAACAGACCACTAAGGTCAACCTAAAGGTCACACACCTGGGCCGGAAGGGGACTCATCCAAAAGGGGGCTGGGGCTTAAGGGTTCAAAACTCACTGTCAAAATCGATTAGGTCACAACAAGTTCACACATCTCTGTGATGACATCATAAAAGCAAAATGGCCGACTTTTCTGCTCAATACCCAGGTATACAACATATTACGCTTCATTCATCATTAAAATATTTCTACACCATTCTTGCATAGCAGAATCAGTATCTATAGAATGCATATATACTGAAAGCCATTGACAATGCAAATTAACATTCATACTTTCTTTACTCACACTAATTTCAACATATATAAACCTAACTGGCAGATATGTTTTAAGTGAACATCTGTGAATAATTTCATCTGAAAATGTCCAGTCAACAACAACATCAGTGACGCAACAACGACATCACACAAAGGAGGGGTCACTTGCAGTCAATATCGTGTGTCCACCGTGCGCTGCAAGACATGCTCGCAGTCTTTGGGGCATTGAAAAACACACACTTCTCAGGAACAGCTGTTGGATGGTCTGCAGCCTCTGATGGTCTGTGGTCTGATCATGACACCACCCCCTCCAAAACGATCATGTTCAAGGACACAGTTTGGCGCAAGTCTTTCTCCTTTACGCCGATAAATCTGTGGACGTCAATCTGCAAAGGATAAGTTAAACCTGGATTCATCTGACAAAATGACATCTGGCCATGTCCTGTTGCCAAGATTGTCCCAAGATGCAATAAGGTTGGACCACGGTACGGGTGACGACACCGGATGTTGAAGGCAGCAAGGAGTCCTTGCACCTTTTGGGCGCTGAAATGACGTTGACTTGTCCCAATTGTCCTCCTTGCCTTATCATCAGCTGTTTGGAACCGATTTCGCAAGTGTGAAACTCGGATATTGCGGTTTTGTCGAGCTGTTATCACAGTTGGTGCACCAGGTCGCGGACGATCAGCAACACTTCCGGTAGCCCGAAAACGTTGTCTGAGTCGACTTACAGTGGATGGATGCACATTAAAGTGCCTGGCAATCATCACATCTGAAGCACCTTGGCTGACCATACCGATAACCTGATTCCTTTCGTCTTGTGTCAAGTGTGGCATTTTCTCAAAGTGATTGAGTTCCACAATTCCTTGTGCTTTTACAGGGCCTGGGTGCAGGTGATGCATATGCACAACGTGTTTCATGAATGTGGTTGTGTTTACGAGAAATGTCAAAGGTTCAGTTTTAAGTATCAAAGTTCATGTGAGAGGAATGCTCCGGGACTCGAACTCGAAATGGGCCAGAATAACAGCCTTTTATCCCTACATCCTCTGTATCGCAGGGAAATATCTTCAATAGAACTTGTAAGTTTCAGGACAACAAATACCAATTGCGTTATTAATGGCTTTCATTATATGTCTTGATAACTTCCGTTGAAATTCTTATGCATGTGAGATTTTTTGCATTGTTAACACTTCGAAATCAACAGTATTCATACCTGGGACTGGTAGTGAGGCATGGTTATGTTGTCCTCTCACCTGGACTCTCTCTTGAATATCCTGAAACTAATGACATCAGCAATAAACTGATAAACAATTCTCTGTCAGCGTATTTAAAGCAGACACTCCCTCTCTCTCTCACACACACAAACAGGTAAAAACACTATGTACTGTGGCCATACTGTACACACAGAGACTAAGTCTTGCACGCGCGCACACACACAGACACACACACACTATCCTCCAATATCAAAGTGACATGCTGTTCAAAGCGGCGTCGCACACACATATAAACACTCGCACTCACTCACACACACACGATTCCATTGTCAAAGTTGGGAAGTGTATCTACTGTACGTACATTTTTGATTCCGAATGTCTTTGATCTGAAACAAATTACGGAACTGTATGATACACAGGGAATAGGTCAATCCAACATGACTTTTATCAGCGTACATTATGAAATATGTGTCTGGTATAGAGGATTCCTTGGTGTTTGTTTCCATTATGATTAAATAATGCGTCGGTTGAATAATGTACATTTACTAAGAAAACTGCATATTACCTGGGTTTGTGTTTAGCTTCATGATGAAATGAATGATCTCAACGATGAGGACGAGGATGAGGAGTGCTGCTACAGTCCCCGCCACTATAACAAGGGTTGGCGTTTGAGAGTTGTCCACTGATGTATCGCCAGCCGCTGAAACATAGACACGACATACGGGCATATACAAGCATAGGGTGTAAGAACTGTCTGCAATTCTATCAGTTTATTGCATGAAGGCCATAGGCCATATACAAAATAAATAATTTTGCATAATATGTACAACATGTACAACATACGACACACCCGTTACATTGAATGTCTTCTCAATACAAGCGCATGATAAATATATAGAGCTACCTTACATTGTAATACAGTTTTGTAGGATTAATATTTGAATGTAGCCATTGTGGAAAATATATTTATCTCAAATCATTATATACAGGACAAAGAAATAAAAAGTGTAGCTCATTCTCTACAGTATTACAAAATGGACAGAACATTTGTGACTTTACAATAGATGAATATCTTCCTTGGTTAACAGATAAATCGTTTAGGCCAAGTCTCAGGCGTTTGATAAGATTACAAAGACTTTGAATACGCAAGTTTTATAGATACGACTCAGGTTCAAGTAAATATTTAAACTCACGATAACAGACATATCTTGAAGTTTCACATAAAGATGAATGACAGTCTTGTTTAAAGATATCGATAGCCCTGGTACGAAAATGTTTGATAAATGCCTTAACATCACAAACCGTTTGGGATAACCAAACAAATCCAAAGCAATATCTAAACAAAAGATTACGAATACGGGTTGCCCAAATATTTTTACCAATATTATCAAGATGGACAATACCACATGTTATCTCTCCACGTAATCCGTCGCCTGATGGAGTGCCACGTTAATGCAAAAATTCGTTGGTGATAGAAGCGGCAGTGCTGACCAGTTTGGCAAATGTTGTTTTCGGATGAAGCAGGTGTATTTTGGGCCCAACAGAGTGTGATGTTGACGGAATGAGGATATCCATGCCGTTAACATAAGTCGGAATGATAGTTTTGTGATGGGAGTGTCTATGTGATGGTGTTGGGTGAGATCACTGTAACTGGCTGAACACCGTTACACGTCATCACGGGTGTTTCACCAGCCAGTAGTATTTGGACAACAATTTCCAGGCAATTCATTGCCATCTGCGCACCGACATGGACATTTCAGGCTGACAACACAAGAGAACACAGAGCTCGTATTGTCATTGAGTACCTCCAACAGGAGAACATAACCACCTTTCCATGGTTAGCTCTCAGTCCAGACTTGAGAAGCTTGGAATTAAATGAATCAAGTTGACACTGGACATAGAGGCAGATATGAGCGATATTAAATGAATGAATTTGACGTTTTGGTTAAGGACGCTTTGGTCAATCAACTACGTAACCTACGGTCATCTGACGTTAAACTACTAACGCAAAGAAGTAAATTGTCATGTACGTACAAACTAAAACAAGGGTGGTCCGAATAGTGGTGTTTCCTTCGTCATTGGCAGCAGTGCACGATAGAATTCCAGGGTCGTACTTTGAAACATTGTGTTTTGTGTAATTCTGTCCACAGCTAACAATGCCATTATGATTCCAGGTGAACGACGTTACCGCGGGGTTGGCGTCATCAACGACACAGACAATTGTAACATCGACGCCTGGTTGTACACTTAGAATCTCAACACTCGGTTCAAGGTGGATTTCAGGTGGATCTGTGGGAAAATAATGATATTATTACCAACGACGGCGATGATGATCTAGTTGTACAGTCACACATTGAAATTATTCACTGTGATGTGAGAGCCCATCACGAGGGTTAGCCCTGACGCGCAACAATCCTGTCACAATATTCAGGTTAAAATAGTCAGAAAAATAAATACTCACTTATCATCATTTTGCAATTAACATTGAAAGCGAAAAAAACCCCGAAATTTCTCGTTGGCTGTTATCAGGGAATTCCATTCTGACCTTATTCCAGGGCATTCCATTCTGATCTTATACAGATAAAGAGGTCACATAGTTCAGCTGATAAACTCAGTGCTTCCTAGAGGGGCAGTGTAATTGAAAGGCTGTCCTAATCTATTCCTGGCACACTTGCGCTGTCTGTCCGAAACAGTCAGAGTTCGATCCATTTCCCATCATTACGAAAAGAAGTGAGACGTTGCCAAATGTAGACATTACCATAATGCCGACGAAGGCATCAGTAGCCAGGAAAATGTCAGTAAGAGGCCAACATCATAGTTTTCGCGATGCATGGCTATCTGCATACATCGTGGTTTTGTGCTGACAGTTCAATGGGCATGGCACGCTCATATGTACAAATGCTGGAAAGCAAATTCCATTAGCAACAATTAGCAACAAGCAGAAAGTTTCAAAATACTACGTTGACCAGACAAATAGCATCCAAAGACCATGTCACGGTAAATACGTAAGTAACAATTACTTGTAACGTAGTACAGTCTACTGAAGTGTTCATTCATAGCTTACATTTAAAGGTAACTTTATGCTTTTACTTTTTGTAAAATTTCTGCTGATGTTGCCGATGTTAACCTAGGCAAGTTTACTTTGAGTATAGTCTCATTATTGTTCAACCTTTCTACGAGGGCTGACTGAAACGTTCTGAGCCTAACAGTGAAAAACCATTACCTGGCTTCCATTTATGTTTCTACATAGTCCCCTTAGAAGTGTACACACTTTAGCCAACGATGTTGCTTGGCCTGGATGCCGCTCAGGAAGAAATTTACTTCAGCCACCCTGAAAAGTCGTCCACAGCTGATATGAAGTCAGCATTACTAGGAAAATAAGGATATCCCTTTCGACCTGAACGATGACGGTCCTAAACATCATAAGTTTGCCGATGTTTTCTGGCTGATAATCGATGGGTGACAACCAACATCGCTTTTAATAACCCTCAATGACACGCCAGCATTACCATCTTTGATCAGTTTTCAGTTTGGGAGGCTCTATATATGCTTATCAGTTGGCTTTCCAAGTTATCAAGTTGTAAGAAGAGTTTGCTGAAACATGGTATTTCTCTAAGGACGGGTTCACGTATTGCACATGATGCGTGCATATCTAATGTATGGTATGCCCGAAGGATCAATATATATAATAAAAACAAACATAATTATGATATGAATATAAATAGCTATTTGGGGTTTAAAAATCATAGGTTTTGGGATACTTTTTGCCATGTGTGGTGCACGTCTACCCTTATCTATCACGTGACCGTTGGACCCTAATCTAGAACGGATGAGGGGACAGGCATTTCTCATTACACAAGATGGTTCGGTACTCACACACGACAACTATCTGTGAGCCAACACTGGCAGTGACTTCACCGTTGTCGGCAGTGCAGTAAAGTCGCCCAGAGTCGGACTTGGTCACATTGGTCTTTGTAAACGTCTGTCCGTATGTGATGTCGTTGTTGTGATTCCACATAAACAAGGAGACGGGAGGGTTGGCGGCATCGACAGCACAGACAACAGTCACGTCACTACCACGCAGGACGTTAATCCGATCCCGTCTTGGCTCCAAGTGTATGTCAGGCGGATCTGTTATAAAGTCAGACATTCTGAGAGAATCCGTGCTGTTGTTGTTATTAACATCACATCAGCAATATGAACTATTCGGGCAGGAAATTGTTCTTGAATTGGTAACTGGGTGAGTGAGTTTGGTTCAGTCAACGTTTTGACATCATGGTAGGGAGGCGTCGGCTTGAGAAACAAGCAACGTATATCCTAAACTTTAGCAGGACTGTGAACACATGCTGTTATATAGATTCTATATACGTCAAACGCTACATCGACTTAATTGCAGTGAGTTAAATATATATTTAAGTTTTACCATTCAAATATGTGAAAGGAAACCGATCTTAATCCTAGAGTTGTGCACTTTAGTAGTGACAGGATCAGGTAATTGTTGGTTCGAATTCAACGTTTGCAATGGTCTTTGATATGCCACAATCAGCAATCAACACCAGCACCATACCCATGCTCGGGGGTCTCGCCAGAGTGGTCTAAGACCAGCGTCACTTCCGGTTACTTCGGCGCAGTGATGACTTAGCATGACAGCACTGCCAAAGGGTAATTTCCATATCACGTGATCGGACTTTTATCTTGTTTGTAAACAAACGCGCATACTTGTACATCAGAAAAGACTGGCCTAATGCAATCTTTTCGGTTCGCTTCTCATTTTTACATTTTTTCAAAACGAAAACCTTTCAGTAATATATACAATATATTGAATGGACAGAGCAAGATGTGAGGAATCGTGACATCTCTCAGGCCTGTGGCAGAGGTACTATGCTGTCCACATTGAACTCTGGGTAGGAGAGTGGCCTAAGACCAGCATCACTTCCGGTTCTCTTAAGGACGGTAGGGTAGCCTGGTGGTTTAAGTACTCCCTAGTCACGCCGAAGACCCGGTTCAAGTCTTTCGAGCCATTTATGGTGTCTGGCCGTGAAATTGCTGGAATATTGCTAAAAGCGGTTTTAAACCATACACACCCACTCCGGCTCTCCTAACAAATCATACTGACTCGCCATCATATTACTGAAATATTGTTCAAACAATGTTAAATTCACTAGCTAGGGGAGTTATGAACATGTTCCGGTATGAAATAAAAACACCCCAAAATCTTACATTTCACATTGATCATGACGCCTGCACGAACAGGCGTCATCCCCTTCTGTCCGTTGTCAGCATAGCAGTTCAGCTCCCCCCGGTCAGACTTGGACACGTTCAGGAGGCTAAACGTTGGTCCAGTGGTCAGAAATCCGTTGTGTAGCCACGTAAATGTCGTCACTGATGGATTAGCGTCGTCGACTACACACAACACGTGAACGTCTCCCCCAACAGCTACGTCAACATTGTCTGGCTCCAAGTGGATTCTGGGGGGATCTGATGGCATGGAAAGTGAGTGATTGTGAGTAACGAGTTGGGATTAACACTGTGTTGCAAACAGAATTACCGTCTTCGTGACATCACCACTGATTTACATACAGTGTATCGTGACATCACCACTGATTTACATACAGTGTATCGTGACATCACCACTGATTTACATACAGTGCATCGTGACATCACCACTGATTTACATACAGTGCATCGTGACATCACCACTGATTTACATAACAGTGTATCGTGACATCACCACTGATTTACATACAGTGCATCGTGACATCACCACTGATTTACATAACAGTGCATCGTGACATCACCACTGATTTACATACAGTGCATCGTGACATCACCACTGATTTGCATAACAGTGTATCGTGACATCACCACTGATTTACATACAGTGTATCATGACATCACCACTGATTTACATACAGTGCATCGTGACATCACCACTGATTTACCAACAGTGCATCGTGACATCACCACTGATTTACATACAGTGCATCGTGACATCACCACTGATTTACATACAGTGCATCGTGACATCACCACTGATTTACATACAGTGCATCGTGACATCACCACTGATTTGCATAAGTGTATCGTGACATCACCACTGATTTACATACAGTGTATCGTGACATCACCACTGATTTACATACAGTGTATCGTGACATCACCACTGATTTACATAACAGTGTATCGTGACATCACCACTGATTTACATAACATTGCATCGTGACATCACCACTGATTTACATACAGTGCATCGTGACATCACCACTGATTTACATAACAGTGTATCGTGACATCACCACTGATTTGCATAACAGTGTATCGTGACATCACCACTGATTTACATAACAGTGTATCGTGACATCACCACTGATTTACATAACAGTGCATCGTGACATCACCACTGATTTACATACAGTGCATCGTGACATCACCACTGATTTGCATAACAGTGTATCGTGACATCACCACTGATTTACATAACAGTGTATCGTGACATCACCACTGATTTACATACAGTGTATCGTGACATCACCACTGATTTACATACAGTGTATCGTGACATCACCACTGATTTACATACAGTGTATCGTGACATCACCACTGATTTACATACAGTGTATCGTGACATCACCACTGATTTACATACAGTGTATCGTGACATCACCACTGATTAAAATACAGTGCATTGTGACATCACCACTGATTTGCATACAGTGTATCGTGACATCACCACTGATTAAAATACAGTGCATCGAGACACCACCACTAATTTACATACAGCGTATGACGACATTACCACGGCAAGTCACTACGCATGGCAGTTTAACATTAACCTATTCAGCGCAAGCATTACGTACATAAGACATTGATGAAAGTGGAAGCCTGCCTATTCTTAAAGTTGCAGGTCAGATTTCCAGAATCGGATTTCGAGGTGATGGTTTTCCGAAAGATTTGTCCACGGTAGTATTGCGTGTTGTAAATCCATATAAAGGGCGACACGGGAAGGGTAGTGAAACTGTTGTCAACTACACACTTAACGCTGATATCCTGCCCACGGGGTACGCTCAGGATGTTCCCGGTCGGTTCCAGGTGAATCTTATGAGAATCTGAAAGTTAAAGTACAGAAGTCTTTACTGAAGGTTTGTTTACACTATTTACAAAGTGAGGACACGTAATGCTTAGTTGAGCCAAAGGACGTGAACTATGGGTGGAATACTATTCAGGGAGCTGAGAACAAAATTGGAAACATTTGAGTGCTCAATGGTTCACTGATCCACAAAATTCCATGATCATAAGAAATCTCCTCCGAACACACTGCAACAGCGCGACTACATCATAAACACGAGTTTATCACTATCGAATTCTGGTGTTTGCGAAGACGTGAGTGTTTCTTGTCCCCCAGGCGGAACCCATTTCAAACACACGCAACAGAAGGTCAGTTAGTGACCTGTTAGGGAACACATGGTACAAGTCCAAATAGGAAATAGCATCGTACATAATTTCGTCACTGATACTTCAAATTGAAAATTTCAAAATGTCCCCTACATGTCCAACATCGATTTTTTAGAAAGCTTTAACCAGGACTTGAAATGAATGTGGTAACCTTGATTGAACAACTTCTGAGCAACATTTGTTCGTAGGTCTATGCGATCATCTTTGTAGGACTGGGCCAAGGTCGGAAATGTAGCCTGGCTTTCCTGATACGTTTAGAACCACTGGTAATATCTGCCAGGCGCGAATATAGAGAACAATAAGTCAACAAAGCCCCTTTCGCATGCTAACGCTTTAAGTTGACTGCTGGGATAATCACAGTGTATGAAATAAGGCCCGTCCGACCGCCCGAGACGGTCTAGATTTCTGACGGACGGCCTAAATTCACAGCTAGCCAGCCCGATGGTATGGTAAAAATGTTAGATAATATGTTCCTTATCTTAAAATCTGTTTTCCAAATTGAGCGTTACTCTGACAACAACTCGGAGTCGGATTTCTCTGACAATGACTGTTGTGAAACACTGTTGGACAGTAAATACATGTCTCAGGTTCATTAAAGTATCTATTGCAACTAAAAGGTGAATTATTTTCTTAGGATTGTCTGGTCTGGTTAAATCCATTTGGGCTAGTACAATTTTGAAGTTACCCGCCCTGATGTCTGGCTGGGTTTTGGGCTTATTTCATACACTAAAAATTATTAATCATGATGCGTGTGGATGATATGCAGTAGTCAGTCAGTTGACTTGTAATGTATGATTTCTTCACCGGCTTCCTAGTAAATATATGATTTGTCAACAGTGAAAGTAACCCGGATATCTCACCTGTAGGACACCTGACCCCGACCGCTGACATGGACGAGCAACTGGTCTCATTCCAAGGGTAGTGTACACAATCGTTGAGGGACGGTTCCGTACCAATACACTGGACTCTATCCAGAATCATAGGCCATGGTGAGGTCACGTTGACCAGCATCACACTCGAAGCTTTGCTGGATAGAAAGTGTCATGGTGATTTCATCTGCATGCTACAGATGCTATATTTGGGGTTACACTTTCACAGTAAAATACAGATTCTTGCACTTTTGTTAGGGTGCAAGCCGCGCTGGCTGAGTGGGTTAGATTGCCGACCTTATGCTGGCGTTTAGGTGCCTGACTCTTCCGGTTCGAATCCCGGACGAACTACTGGGTATTCCCAGTTGCGTTGTTCGATGCTCATGATGTCAATCACTGGATTATCTGGTCGCGATCATTTACATAATGATCATCATACAGCTGACTGCAGCGCTAACCAACCAACAAACAAACACGTAGATCCCAGATGTGGATTCTGGAAGAGACTAGGGACGATGTGGAGATGCCTGTGGTGGTGGTGGGGGTGGGAAGAGAGTTGTGTCAACTGATACTACTCTACTTACCTGACGTCACCCGTGAAGGTCCGGGTTAGAATATTGGCCTTCAATAACCCATGCTTGTCGTAAGAGGCGACTAACGGGGTCGGGTGGTCAGGCTCGCTGACTTGGTTGACATATGTCATCGGTTCCCAATTGCGCAGATCGATCCTCATGCTGTTGATCACTGGATTGTTTGGTCCAGACTCGATTATTTACAGACCGCCGCCATAAAGCTGGAATATTGCTTAGTGCGGCGTAAAACTAAACTCACTCACTCTTACCTGACGTATCCCAGCATCCTGCACACAACCGCAGCTTCCTCGGCACCGAAGCCGGTGTTACAGACTCGACCCCACTGCTGCTTGTAGTACAGCTCTAGAATCCCCTGTGCCCCTTGTGAACGTTGGTTGGTGTTGGGCACTAGTCGAGCAGCTGAGAAACCTATTTCAACATATAATTGACAGGGTTGATTGTTTAAGAGGGAACGTCACATTTTTGGAAACAGTCATGGGTTTACAATATTCACTCACTGATATAGTTTTTACAAACATCATGATCAGATAATTATTCTTAACATCACTGCTGGATGGAAACAACAAAACAACTGTAAATCACGAAATTTTTGCGAGCATGATATTCTTGCGAAAATTGCGAATTACTTTTAGCTCGCAAAAATATCTTGACGCAATTTATTATTCACCGATCCATATAATCAACAACAGATCTAGACAATACATCAATTAAGCAATGACAACAGCTTGAGGGAACACTAATAACTAGCATTACTAGTACTCACGTGTCAAACAAGGGATACTCGAACAAAAGTTACCAAATCAGTGCGTCTGATAGTCCAGACAGGCGTCAACCACGCAACACCCATTCTGTGTCTTTAGAGACCGTTTGATAGGCCGACACCATCCACCGGGCGTGGATAGGTTTCATCGCACTTATCCGGAGATCAACAGCTTTGGTGATGTCATTGTCAACAATTTAACAGAGGCATTCCAATTAACATAATCCCTTTGTTTTAAGCTTATCTGGCCTGTGCAGTGTGTGCTGTCTGTAGGGTTTAACCTCACTGTGCCTGCACCCTGCATGTTGATACAAGCGATTAAAGGCCACAGCTCACTGCATTTCTGGTTATAGCCTGTTTATTTAAAGTTGGCATGTGACGGTGAACTGTTCTCACAGTGTGAACACTGTTTAATTAATGTCAAATTATGATGGCTACCGATGGATGAACACTTTTATAGAATGTCATTGATTACAATCAGATGTTTATAAGTGATTAGTTTTGAGTGGTAAGTTCCAGTGTTGCCATCTATATAAATTGCTTGGACTGGTCACACTGGTCATTGCAAAATGGCAAATGTGCAAGTAAATGTTCGGTTTGTTGCTACCTCCCAAGGTGGACAGAACCTTGTTCATAATGGTCACAGATTTAGAATCAAGAGCAGGAGAAACACAACTGTACACTGGCGTTTCTGTAGAAAGAAATTTCCGGCAGCGATGAACGTATCCAACTACTTCGTCACAAAATATCGTGATATTCACAACCATACTGGAGACGACAAAGATATTTTCATTCAGGAATTCTTATCCAACCTGAAATCTAAAATTCGAAATGAGAGCAAGCCTGCTCCAACAATCTACCAAGAAGAATTGATGCGTAAGTTGAAAATAAACTTGTTGACCAGGAGGAAAAGTGCCATAGAATATGCTTAGTCGCATTTGGTTGGGGTTTAAACGTGTATGTTATTATGTGCATGTATATGAGTAAATTATGTGAACAGAGAATACATTCTTTAAATGGATAGAATGTCAAGTGAAAAGATATGTTATGTTATGGATCTTATTATATGCATGTACCTGAACAAGTTATGTCAACAGAGTATTCCAGGAGTTGAGGTCTACTTTACTACAACAACTATAATTAATCCCCTATTGTTAACCTATCTACCACGGCCGACTGAATCTCTACCTCGAACAATAGGTGCAGGCACACTGAGGTGTCCCGGTTTGTAGGAAAACATCACTGATTGCATACACATGGAAGTACTCTACTGAGTTCAAGATTAGCGGCAACCTTTAATATGCGATTGGATGTACATTAGGTAGAACTTTCATTTGCAATCTAATTTTGAGAAGTAGGGTACTCGCAAAATATCATGACTCAAAAACGTCTGTTGGTTGGTATTCGCAAAAATATCGTGACGCAAAAAATTCGTGATTTACAGTATTCATTCTGGTAAACTGTTCTATAAAATGCGCCTGCCTTCCGGAAAAGAAAAACATTCTACGGCAACGGCTTCATCGTTTCCACAGTCGGTCTTTCCCCATGCTCCATGCTTGCAGTCCAGCAGATGGATGTTCTTTATGCTGCAGGCGACATCATCCAACCACATGGTCATTGCAGTCAAGGGCACAGTTTCGACCTTGACTCTTCCACTTCTGTAGAGAAAACATCAATGTAGATGTTGCCATTTCAACATACATATAATGTCCACATATATACCTAGATGTATTCTAGTGTATGAGTTACATAAATATGTTTGGGCTGTCAATGGAGAGCCTGAAAACAATTCTTTATTATTTCAGTATCCGCTCCGACACTGTGCTAGAATATCAGGTGAATGAACTGACCGCAATTCAGTCTCCAATGATTTATATTGAAATCACATAACAAGAACACTTGTTAACAATACACATTTAGTGTCCTGTACAGCGGTACCTGTCCTAACCCTACTTCATTGTGCTGGTTAAAGCATAGCTTTACCACAACCGGATTGTGTCTGTTTGTTAAAAGTCTATTATATATACATCTGTGAATAAATAAACTCTACCCTGTATTTCTGCAAATTAATTTTGTCTGAAATGAAATTCTTAACTCTTTCCAAAAAATAACCTTTATAATTTGACAGAGCAAGCATTTAACATTTAAAAACGAAAACATCATTGAAATTACCATGTATTTTAATTAGGATAATTGCCTATATTTAAAACAGGTGTTGTTCTGTCCTGAAAAAAGTTACCTTATTTTGAAACGTGAAAGTAATAATTGATTGTTGTGTGGCCTGTAAATTCGTAATTTATTGTGAATGGATGAATGTTTGTAAACTAAGATTTAGTAAAAGTTACAGTCAAACTAAAAAAACCAAACTAACAGATTTTAGTTGTAATTATCAGTATCCGGCAACGAGAAGTGTTTATTCATTACAATAAACTCAAAATCATAAAAAATGTATTCCAAAATCTTATTAATGTGGCCGTTTTCAGTTTTTTGTCAATTAGCAATCTGAATTGTTGGAAAAAGGTCTGAATCTTTGACATTCGCATTGTTCTTGATTATGCATAATTAAAGCTTACTTGATGTGTAAATGTCATTTTGGTATATAACAGTGTAATGGGGGGATAAGTATAATAGGTGCTATAGATATTAGAAAGGGGTGGGCTAACGTTAGCAACTTATAAATTATAAATTCTGGTATATTAAATGGATTTTTCTTATCGGTGTTCGCGGAGACATGCGGGTTACAGTTGTCGCTGGTTTGTTTGGTTTCGCTCGCCGTTTCGGCGCAGTGATTGGCTGCACGCACTGGAAGGTTCCATTCCATGGGTGGGGGTGTGCTCCTCGCTTAGTGGGACAGGCCCGCTATTGCGCACATAAGGAGCGCGCGACAGGTGTTTATTGTCTGAGTTGGAGACACCCGAGGACAGGTGAGCCCTTGTTTCGAAGCGAAACAGCTTCCCAGTTGCTTTGTGATGAAGTAGAATTTGCTCCGTGACGGACCAGTCCTTGTTTCGAGACCAAACAGTTGATCCCCCCGCTCACGGTGAATCGCTTAGAAAATAGGAGGGAAGACATACAAACCAACTACCCCTGTTAGGAGACAGTTTTAGTATTCTAGATTTATATTAGGTCGGTATTAGGTGGGGATCGTGGTTGTTAATTTAATTTGGATTTTGGTTAAAACTTCCCAACAATATATTTTGTATCGTTTGTTCCGCTTGGAGTTTGTGTTCTGGTGTAAATAAAATGGTGATATGAATTTTGTCTTATGTCCTGAATCGCAAGGCTGCATCTCATAACCGGGAAACAGCGTGGAGGAGAATTCTGCTCACGGATTGAAAGGTTTATACCTGGAGCGTACCCTCTTGTGGTAAACATGCCAGTTGGAAGGGAAAACACAGCGCAAAGTAGAACCACACATTTAATATGTAGTTTCCACAAGACAGAGCAAACCACGCCTGTTACAAACAGAATTGTTATTTTAAGTCAAAACTTAATTGTGTAATTTGAGCAGGAGAGGATTAGTTATTTTTATAATATATATTTATATAGCGCTTATTTCAAGTTCTGTTAAACTGCTCAAAAGCGCTTTTGGGCAATGAATTGTCCTGGGGAATATGTACAACAGTGAGTCTATATACACGGATAGTTTGCAGTTCAGGCGTACTATGAGGTGAAGAGGTAGGTTTTCAGGTGTGATTTGAATGTTTCTATGTTCTGAGAAGATCGTAATTCAAAAGGGAGAGAATTCCAGAGCCGTGGAGCTACGATTTGGAAGCTTCTTTTTCCAAAAGATGTTCGGGCGGAGGGAACTGTCAGTAGTTTATGTTGTTGCTATTATTATTATTATAATCATCAAGTATCTGTTATGAACAATATATTCTTATCGGTGATTAGACGAGTGTCAATCTCGGACTTACTGATAACCAAGCGTTCGACACACAACAGAAGCCTCGACTTGACCGAAGCCGTCATCACAGACTGTTCCCCAGGTGCCGGCGTGGTGGACGTGCAGCAAGCCGTTACTGTAGCCGGGTGTCAGCTTCACCCTGCTGCTCCCTGTAACAGTCAGAGAGAGTCTTCACCCAATGGGGTTATCAGTTGTGACGTGAGCATGAGGTTCACAACCAGCCAACAGAAAGAAGTCAATTCCAATATAACTTTAACAATGGTTGTGTCTGTTACATTTTAAGATCAAGTGTTATTTTGGTGAAAACTGTCAGGGTTCTCGTAGTGAAGAGCCGGGAAAACGTTCGTAGCCCTAAGAATTCTCAACTTTGATCGTAGCCAATGTGTTAAGAACGGACTTAAGAAGTTCGTAGGGCTACGAACGTTTCGAGAAAATAGATAGCCAGGGTTCCCGTAGTCGAGAGCAGGGAAAATATACTCTCAAATATGACATATTTGTACACTTTCTAAAAGCCATTGTGGTTTCAAACAGCTGCATTGTTTTTAAACATCGTGCTGCTCAAAGTGCTATCAAAGTGCTACCAAAGTGCTATCAAAGTGCTACCAAAGTGCTATCAAAGTGCTACCAACTATAAGTAATTACAGGATGCATATTAGATTCGACTCTCAGATTGTGTCCTTGTATCTTTAGGCCCATCCTTTATGTTCGTTTTTATCTGAACTGGAAAGCTTGTACCATATTCATATGTTTTACTTACATATCCTAACTCATGAAGCGGAGATATAATAACAAAATCTTCTTTTTTACAGTGGAAAAAAACGAACTCTCGCATTGATGTGTTTGTATGCAGTAGTGGTCGGGCTGCAATATACGCGACGTCATCATTCTCTGTGTTCCACATAAAGATTAATGCCTGCATATCCGGGTTAGAAATCATACACCCATTCTGCAAGCCACCCCATTATATGTGACTTACGAGGTGAGGTGGTCAACTATGCAGACTTTGTTCACACATTTCATAACGGTGCCTGTCCTTCGTTGACAGGCTTTTCATACTTTACATATATTTATAATTTACATATATTTATGGTGAATTTAAGACTTGTATTAGCCACGGTGACTTAAGCTCACTCACTCATAACGATGCCCATTTTGGTCATTGACTTTGACTGATACTCATGATGACAGTCACCGGATTGTCTGGTCCAGACTTGGATATTTACAGATCGACGTCATATAGCTTTAGTATTTTGTGTGTGGTTTTAAACACTTATCAAACATATGAGTATGCTCAGATATCAATTATGTACGAAGGACTCACGTTCATCGCATATGATGCCAACGTCTTCATCGTGAGTGCAGTCGTGGTCGCCCCACTGTCTGTGGTTGCAGCTGCTCAACATCAGTTCAGAGCCATCGCATCTTACATCATCAAGCCAGATCTTCCCAGTTCCATAGCCAAACGTGGGAATTGCTCTTGGCTTGAACCCGCTGTGACTAGACAGAACAAGCAAGACAATACAACAAAACATTTACAGATGTACTGGGTGAGTGAGTTTAGTTTTACGCCACATTCAGCAATATTCCAGCTGTGTGGCAGCGGTCTGTAAATAATCGAGTCTGGACCAGACAATCCAGTGATCAGCAGAATGAACATCGATCTATGCAACTGGGATACGATGACATGTGTCAACCAAGTCAACGAACCTGACCCCCGATCCCGTTAGTCGCCCCTTACGACAAGCATGAATTACTGAAGATCAATTCTAACCCGGATCTTCACGGGTTTACAGTTGTACTGAATGATAACAATGGAAATACAGGAAGTGTGTTTGTCTGACATTTATACACCTCGGTTTATTTCAAAACACATTTGTAAACAGTGGGGATAAATAATAGTAGGAATGATATTTTCACGGTAAGGACGACTTTAAGAGTAGAATGAGAAACAAGATTTTCTGTTCATGCTTTAAGCTCGTTGATCAACTTTCACAGTTAAACCGCCAGACAATGCAGTATGTAAAGATCAAGAGCTACCGGTGTGATGACCCAACTTACTATCGTCCCAGCTGTCTACACACAACAACAGCTTCGGCAGTGTCAAAGTCGTCGTCGCAAACTGTTCCCCACTGGCCGTCGTAGTAAACCTCAAGCCGACCCACACCGTTGTCGAGTGGGGACACCAGACGGACCAGCTGACCATACCCTACAGGTACACAGACAGAGCCACTGTTACACTGTGGATATATCACTCAGCATTGTTGCAGCTTCTCACATGGCGTGTTTCCTTTGATCTCAAGAAAACGTGCAGTTATTGCAGGGGGAAACAGCATGCACAGTTTCAGCTTCCACCGTTGCATGATTGACAATGAATAAGGGCAGCATTTTTATTTCCTGTGTTTCTCCTCATCGCCCGACCCTAGTTTTATTGCCGACAAACAAACAAACTTTCTTATTCATTCCAACAGCGCCGACTCGAACCTAGAACGTACCGACTCGTCATATAACATGTTACCACACAAACAAAATTCAGACAAATTTCCCTTGACAACAGGCCGGCCATGATGTCTGCGACTGGCATAGCAGACGAAACAACGAAAACAATTGTTTATCATTTTTACAGTCGCTGCCACAAGTCCAGAAAACGCGAGAAATCGTAATTAGAATTACAATAAATGAGAATCAAGAATATTATTCAGATAAGTTTGTCTTTATTATTTTTCGTTGTTGTCTTTTGACCCGACCGACCCATGTTCAGAATTTGGTAGCTACGTGAAACACACAAAGAAAATGATGCCACAACATACTCATCCATTACCGTCATGGTGATTGACATGACAATGACATGCTCGTCACTGCCCATCAATATATCCCATGTTACCGGAGCGAGGAGTTCAGAAAGTAAAGCCGTCCTATTTTTGTTTTGCTGTGAAGCAGTCATTAGTAAGCGATATCTCAAACTAGTCATACAAACTTACCATTTCCACAGACCAGAAGAACCAAACAGAAACATGCACTCTGTGCCATATTGACCTGAAAGAGCAAAGTCCTTATCTGAATCCCTCGTTTCACAGTCTGTTCTGTATTTAATAGTAGAGAAAAGCGGAATGGGAATATGCCAGGCCCATGTGATATCAACTATCATTATAATGATGATTCTAGAATGTAAAACGGCTATAAACAATGCAGCACACACGTATACATATAAAGATAGATATATCTAACCTTGCAGGATGGTTGCTGATGTCACGAACACTGTGTCTCATGTTGGTGTCATCGTGGAACAGTTGGGACAGACATTAAAACCAACATATCGATAACAGAACAATAAACCTTCCATTCTAGGACTATATAATACCGCGCATCTTATACCTTATATAAGTAATCTTCTCATAGGTGAATCAAATTGAAATATTTCTATCGGATATGTACATAGAACACGTACTTGACGTTTACCTGAATGCAGGTCAATATTTGAACAGTTAGATGCTGAGTCCCATAAGTCGACACGATGCAAACGATAGGGTGAGAGATAAAAGCGAGATGTGCACCTGTTGCGTGCGTGTGGACGGTTGTTGGTTGTATTAGTTCTGATTGTGTCAAACCAGTCAACATATTTCCATTGTTCGGTCACGGGTTCGAATCTATTATTCTTCCTTATTATTTTTCTTGGTGTCTAAGCACCAATATGTTCTTGTATGTTAATTAAACTATCAAATAACCTCCTTTTTGTTTCTGTACATTTTAGCTACCAAATGTCCACTAAACAATGATTATGAACAGGGACCATCCAAGTCAACAGAATATTGGCCACGTTTCCTGGTTCTCGACACAGCAGACGAGACACCACTGAAGCTGAATCCTTTTGCAATTTCGTAAGGTATATATGGCATTGCAAGTGTAGTGAAGAACATCAAATGCTTGAGTTCGGGATCTTATCTGATCGACTGCAATAGGAAACAACAAGCCACCATCCTGATGACCATAGAAACGTTTAGTGGAATCCATGTTTCAGTTACTGCGCACAGAACACTGAACACCAGCAAAGGGATTATAAGAGACATAGATCGTTTGTTCGCCGAAATGTCAGAACTGGACATCGTATCCGAAACGAAAGATCAGGGAGTGACATATGTCAAGCGATTCACCACCAGCAAAAACAATGACATAATTACAACAAACATTTACCTCTTTTCGTTCTCGTCTGCACATCCTCCTAAGTCTGTCATGGTTGGTTACTGTGACATCACAGTTAACTTTAAAAAATGCACAGATTGTTCAGGTAGTCATTCATCCTTTTCTAAATACTGTACAATATGGAAAAAACAAATGGAAATAAAAAAAGTTAGATTTACTCAAAACATAAGCTTCGCTGATGCTAAAAAGCTAGTTGAATCAACAGTACCAAATGAATCATATCCATCAGTCGTCAGGACACCCACTGAAAGTTTGTCGAAAGTAAATTCGCAAGTATCCAGATTTTAATAGAGTGTCAAGCAGACTTGACTTGGTTACAAACGATATCCGTCAACTTCTTACACATGAACAGTCTACCCAGACTTCAGAATAATGCGTAAACACTCGGGGCACCTTCTATCCTTGTACGGCAGGATGTTATTCACAGCCCTGTTATACGTATAACTAATCTCCAAGCGGTTGCAGTGCGACTTACTCTGGGTGCAGCATTTTACATTATGCTCTCAATATATTCCGCCTTCATCGGTACTTAAGCAGACTGATCTTCAGTCATTCTGTGATCAACTTTTCCGAAGCCCTGTGTTATTATGGGAGACCTAAATGGTCACAACCCGCTCTGGGGGAATAACAACACTAATTCTAAAGGTAAAATACTGAAAGATTTCATTTCCAATAATGACCTGTGTATATGCAAGTACATATCTGCATCCTGCAACTGGCATTTACTCTTCTCTGGATTTGTCTTTAATCAGTCTGAGTGGTCTGTTCACATTGACCTCTTCGGAAGTGACCAGTTCCCAACTATTCTTTCACAAATGACTGCAACGAATTCTCCAAAAAACTGATTCTCCATCGTATACATGATGGATTTTTTCGACGGCTAACTGGTCCTTATTTCAAACTACATGTAAATCGAAACTACGACTTGAATGCTTCAGTGATGGAACTGATCCCATTCAGACTTTTGCTGACATTTCAAAGGAAGTAGCTGATGAGTGTATACCGAAGTCCTCTACTAATCCACATGTACGGAAGACAAATTGTAGGCAAGCCAGAAAAACGAGCAAAATGGTAGAATATTATTTCCGCAACCATTCGACTGTCCATAACTTAAATATATTTAAAATACTCAATGCGTACCTTTAACTAAACAAGGGACAATCTTGGAGGAACGATGACCCCAAAATTAATTCACGCACGCCTATGTCCTAGGTGTGGAACAGGGTTCAGAGAATAAAAGGCAAAGGTTCAAAATCGACTGTTAAATATAGTGATGATTTAATCACTGAAAAATCGAAACATTGCAAATAAAATTGGCTAAAACCTTTCCCAAAATTTTATCATCAACAAATTATGTCCCCGAGTTTCGGAGATATCAGAAACAACAGCAAAGGAGAAAATTTAATTTTGATTCCAACAACGGTTTAGATTACAATGTTGTTTCAGGAAAAATCGTTGTACCACTGATCATTTGGTACGATTAGAATACTTTAAAATGCTATTGTAACTAAACAACATGCAGTATCAATATTCTTTGATCCCGAGAAAGCATACCTGGAAGCATGGTATTTTAAAGGATTTACATGACTCTGGTTTGAGGCGCCGTTTACCTATACAATGTATTTATATCACAGCTTTGAACAGACTGATGTCTGATCATTACCATCAGGGTGTCCCACAAGGCAATATTTTGTCTGTCACACTGTTTAGTATTAAGATCAACAGTTTATCGAAGGTTTTGAAATGATTCAATTTGATGGATCATTTTTTGTGGATGATTTTAATATTTCTTGTCGTGGTAAAAATATGCATACAATAGAGAGACAGTTACAACTTTGTCTCAATAAAATTCATAAATGGTCAGTTGAAAATGGCTTTATAATTCTCTAAATCCAAAACTGAGTGCATACATTTTTGCCGAAAAAATATAAGCCACTCCTTTCACATAGGTGTACGTGCATGTATTTTAGAAACAGAGATCCTCCAATACTGACGCTTATATTATTTGGCATTTACCTTGGCATTTACATTGTTTACTTTATCTAAATTATGGACTGTGGGATGTCGGCGAACATATTTTTCTGTTTTCTTCCTACACTTTCTGGTCTGTTTACACTTAGTAGTAAATTATGGTTTTCGAATATGTGGAATTGCAGAGGACTTAGGTATAGTTTGGTTAGCAATATTGTTTAGTCTATCTGAAAACAACTGTATAGGATCTTCTCTGTTCGCAAAAAACATCATCTTTAAGTGATCAGTACATAGTCTTATATAATGACCAATCATCCAGATCCTACTTGATAAAGGTGAGATCACCAGGGTTAATTCTTTTGAGAATGGCGAGGGAAGTGATCACTCCCACATAGGTCATCATGGACCATCCATTCGAATTCAGTATATAAGATGGAATCGGCGATTTACAGATCCAGGGAAGAATATGTTCCCTTAGCTGGATGCAAATAAGTTGCTGAATCATCATTTAAAATACATAAATTATTATCGGAAATGAATGCTCTAAAGCAATGTCCTTCTCCAACATATCAGACAGACCCTCTATATTTGCAAATGTCTTGATCGACAACAGATTGAGACTCCACAAGAAGCGAGCCACCACAGAGATGGGTAACATTTGTTACTTCTCCATAAATTCCGGAGATAGCCTTTGAAATGGCTAATGGGTTTAACTTGAGTAGAAGAAAATCTGAAGCTTCAATTGCCAGAAAACGAGCCCAGGAGTCATCGTTAGAAGACATATTTCCAGAAAAGAGCTCTAAATCTTCTAAACGTCTCTTGTTTCGTTTCATGAACCAGATGGTGGAAGTGCCATGACGAAAGGAAGATGATTCATCAAAACATCAGACAAACTCTGTGATTTGTTTGCATAATTTATGTCCTAAAATTAAAAAAGTTGTTTAACAAACTATCATTTGAGTATTGACACAGTTCACTATTTGTTACGAGGGAGGAGTGCAGAGAAAGGGACAGCCAAGTGTTAGAGAAGCACGTGCACAAGTGCCGACAAAGTTATTGATTCATTAACCTGTGCTGTGCCGTCTCCATCCTTTCTCGCACACCTAGCTGTCCTAGTGGTTAAAGTGTTCTCTCGTCATACCAAAGACACGGGTTCGATTCCCCACATGGGTACATTGTGTGAAGCCCATTTCTGGTGTCCCCCACCGTGATATTGCTGGAATATTGCTAAAAACGGCATAAAACCAAACTCCCTCTCTCATTCACTGTCAAAAATATTCCAGGCAAAGGTCAAACGGACTCGCCAGTTTATGACCTCAGTGTTCAGATAAGCTTATATATTAGCGAGATATTCCACGCTGTCTCACACATCCTTCCAACATGCTCTGCTTGTTGTACATGTCGGCGTTGACCACTGTCCTAGCGATATACCCCTTCAGAAACACCTCTCTGTCCTGGGAGGAGCGTGTGGATGACCTGGTTAGCCGCCTGTCCATCCAGGAGATACAAGACCAACTCGCCAATGGACAAGGCCCAAGTCCTGCCATTCCTAGACTGGGCATCGGACAGTATGTCTTCTGGAGTGACTGTGGTAGAGGTGCCAATAACCAAAACGCCACGGCCTTTCCACAGTTCATCGGACTTGGAGCTTCCTTTGAGTGAGTCATAGAACTACAGAAGGCTGTAGGCGCCACTGTGGTAATATATCTGAAAACAAAAAAAGTCGTTAATTATTTATTTCCGAAACCTTTCGAAACGTCGAGTTTTTTCTCGTTACTATATTGTGTTTTCGTAATTTCCATTTTTGTAATTAGAAAAATTGAATTTTTCTAAATAGAAACAGACTGTTTAAATACACTAATAACGCAATTTAACACATGTTATTTACTGAAGATGTACTCGCTATTGAGAAAGCGGATGTATGGGACACGGGATGCCCTATGAATCAGACAGTATGTGTAGTTATACGTTACCAGTGAGTGAAGTCTAGTTTACGTGTATTGGATGTTTTTTCTCACAGCAAGCTGTTCGTGTACTGCTGTGTGTATTGGATGTTGGGTTTTTTCACAGCAAGCTGTTCGTGTACTGCTGTGTGTATTGAATGTTGTTGTTTTTCACAGCAATCTGTTGGTGCACTGCGGGTGTATTAGATGTCATGTCTTCACAGCAAGCTGTTGGTGTACTGCGGGTGTATTAGATGTCTTGTCTTCACAGCAAGCTGTTTGTGTACTGCTGTGTGTATTGGATGTCTTGTCTTCACAGCAAGCTGTTGGTGTACTGCTGTGTGTATTGGATGTCTTGTCTTCACAGCAAAGTGATGGGGTACTGCGGGTGTATTGGATGCCTTGTCTTCACAGCAAGCTGTTGGTGTACTGCTGTGTGTATTGGATGTCTTGTCTTCACAGCAAGCTGTTTGTGTACTGCTGTGTGTTTAATGTTGTTTTTTTTCACAGCAAGCTGTTCGTGTACTGCTGTGTGTATTGAATGTTTTTTTTTTTTCACAGCAAGCTGTTCGCGTACTGCTGGATGTATTGGATGTCTTGTCTTCACAGCAAGCTGTTGGTGTACTGCGGGTGTATTGGATGCCTTTTCTTCACAGCAAGCTGTTGGTGCACTGCGGGTGTATTAGATGTCATGTCTTCACAGCAAGCTGTTGGTGTACTGCTGTGTGTATTAGATGTCATGTCTTCACAGCAAGCTGTTTGTGTACTGCTGTGTGTATTGGATGTCATGTCTTCAGAACAAGCTGTTGGTGTACTGCTGTGTGTATTGGATGCCTTGTCTTCACAGCAAGCTGTTTGTGTACTGCTGTGTGTTTTGATGTTGTTGTTTTCACAGCAAGCTGTTCGTGTACTGCTGTGTGTATTGGATGTTGTTGTTTTTCACAGCAAGCTGTTCGTGTACTGCTGTGTGTATTGGATGTTGTTTTGTTTCACAGCAATCTGTTGGTGTACTGCTGGATGTATTGGATGTCTTGTCTTTACAGCAAGCTGTTGGTGCACTGCTGGATGTATTGGATGTCTTGTCTTCACAGCAAGCTGTTGGTGCACTGCGGGTGTATTACATGTAATGTCTTCACAGCAAGCTGTTTGTGTACTGCGGGTGTATTGGATGTCTTGTCTTCACAGCAAGCTGTCTGTTTACTGGTGTGTGTATTGGATGTCTTGTCTTCACAGCAAGCTGTTGTTGTACTGCTGTGTGTATTTAATGTTTGTTTTTTTCACAGCAAGCTGTTCGTGTACTGCTGTGTGTATTGAATTGTTGTTTTTCACAGCAAGTCGCTGGTGTACGAGGTGGCTGCAGCTGCTGCAGCTGAACAGAGAGCCTTCTACAACTATTTCCTGAAGAACAAAGTGCCCCTGGATATCCACATGGGGCCGACCTGTCTTGACCCCAACGTTGACATGTTCCGTGACCCGCGCTGGGGCAGAGGTCAGGTAAGGAGCTACTCGTCAGAAAAGGAGGAAGGAGGAAGCGACGATTCATTCCTCGATTTCTGATTCTTTCCTAACAAATGATGTAACGGTAATCTGTCGTTCTATATTGAAACTTAAACAAAAGACTTATACTGGGATTATATTTTGTGCAATTATCGCACTTTGCTTTTCTCTTTACATCTATTTATAATACATCCTCTGTTTACAAATGGACAAAGGAAACATTTGGAGAAGACCCTTTTCACATTGGCGAACTCGCCAACCAGCATATATTTGGTCTCCATGGCTACCATCCTCGGTACCTCCGGGTCAGTTCAACCTGCAACCATTTTGCTCTTTCCGCTGGACCGGACAGTTGGCCTATCGGCAGGCTGGACTTTGATGCAAAGGTACATGTTCCCGTAAGACTTGAATAATGATTAACAGTCGTAAATAAGAAGCTTCATGAAATGGAAAACGGGTCACTGGAATCAGCTCGCCACGTAATAGTATCGATAAGTGTCTATTTGTTATAAAAGCGTGACAGCTGTTGCTCCTCCAGAACAGATAAGCTGCATACCACTGCAACACTAACCAACGCCAGGAACACATAAGAATGGACTTAGTACAAAAGTTGAGAATCAACACTGAATATTCCCACTGATGAACCAACGTTCTACCAACTTGGCTGCCGTTATTTTTATTCAAAGAATATGTTTGGTCACCTTTTAGGACAGAACCTGGGTGGTGATAGGGGATGGCACAGTTTATTTAAATCGTTTTCAAAAAGCATCAAACAATATTCCCACACAATTAATCTCAAATGATGTCATTACATGCATACTGTTTCAATAATATTCGCGTTATGTTGAACAATATTTATACTTTTACGTATTATCGCCATATTACAGAACATTGGAACCGGTGTTTAAACGCGCACTCGTCGGAGTTATGTTCCTTGTTTATCAGTTTATTGCTGATGTCATTAGAGAGAGAGGTTCTGGGGTTTAATCAAATGTTTAGGATTTCTCCCAATTTGACCCAACTCGCTCATTTATTGTTCTTATCCCTTGTCCCATCCCACTCACTCGCTCTCTCATAAAACACACGTTATTTTGCCCACCTTAAACATGGTTAATTTAAGGAAAGTTTTACATAATAGCTGTGGATAACGTTGTAATACAATATCTGTTGTGTGATATGATGAATATGCTCCCAGGTAGTATATTCGAATCGCAGACACTCCTTTAATGTGTTTCTTGGTTTAGTGAGTGAGTGAGTGAGTTTAGTTTTACTCTGCGCTCAGCAATATTCCAGCTATATGGCGGCGGTCTGTAAATAATCGAATCTGGACCAGACAATCCTGTGATCATCAGCATGAGCATCGATCTGCGCAATTGGGAACCGATGACATGTGTCAACCAAGTCAGCGAGCCTGACCATCCGGCTGAAGGTTCATTCTAAACCCGGACCTTCACGGGTTCTTGGTTTAGTACCACACCCACACAGGTCATCAACTTGGTGAACGGGCCTCTCCTTGAACGTGTTTCTATGTTTGTTAGTACCACACCCACACAGGTCATCAACTTGGTGAACGGGCCACTCCTTGAACGTGTTTCTATGTTTGTACCACACCCACACAGGTCATCAACTTGGTGAACGGGCCTCTCCTTGAACGTGTTTCAATGTTAGTACCACACCCACACAGGTCATCAACTTGGTGAACGGGCCTCTCCTTGAACGTGTTTCTATGTTTGTACCACACCCAACTTGGTGACAACGTGTTTCTATGTTTGTACCACACCCACACAGGTCATCAACTTGGTGAACGGGCCACTCCTTGAACGTGTTTCTATGTTTGTACCACACCCACACAGGTCATCAACTTGGTGAACGGTACCACCCACACAGGTCATCAACTTGAACGTGTTTCCACACCCATGTTTTGTGAACGGGCCGCTCCTTGAACCACACCCACACACAGGTCATCAACTTGGTGAACGGGCCTCTCCTTGAACGTGTTTCAATGTTAGTACCACACCCACACAGGTCATCAACTTGGTGAACGGGCCTCTCCTTGAACGTGTTTCTATGTTTGTACCACACCCCCACACAGAACGTGTTTCAATCATCCACACCCACACAGGTCATCAACTTGGTGTGAACGGGCCACTCATCAACTTGAACGTGTTTCTATGTTTGTACCACACCCACACAGGTCATCAACTTGGTGAACGGGCCTCTCCTTGAACGTGTTTCTATGTTTGTACCACACCCACACAGGTCATCAACTTGGTGAACGGGCCTCTCCTTGAACGTGTTTCTATGTTTGTTAGTACCACACCCACACAGGTCATCAACTTGGTGAACGGGCCTCTCCTTGAACGTGTTTCAATGTTAGTACCACACCCACACAGGTCATCAACTTGGTGAACGGGCCTCTCCTTGAACGTGTTTCTATGTTTGTACCACATCCACAACGGGTCATAAAGATGACTCGTCGTGATATTCATGAAATACTAACCAATGGTGCTGTTCAACCACTGTGTTCACTCACTCACTCTTCTCCCACCACCAGGTGTCGGAGTACGACATGCGGACCTACTTCCTGCCCCCATTCAGGCGGTGTGTGGAGTCGGGGACATACGCCTTTGTCTGTGCCTACAACAGGTAACTTACCACAGCCGTAGACTGAAAAACTATTAACATGCATGTATAGTATTGTTACAGAGCATTTAGGAAGGAGCATGCACGCTATCTTTATAGAACAAGTATGGACGTGTATACATAGTACTGTTATAGAACATATGGTAGGTGTCTACATAGTACTGTTATAGAACATATGGTAGGTGTATACATAGTGCTGCTATAGAACATATGGTAGGTGTATACATAGTACTACTATAGAACATATAGTAGGTGTATACATAATATTGTTATAGAACATATGGTTGGTGTACACATAGTACTGCTATAGAACATATGGTAGGTGTATAGATAGTGCTGCTATAGAACAAGTAGGGACGTGTATACATAGTACTGATATAGAAAATGTCGTAGGTGTCTACATAACACTATTATAGAACACATGATAGGGGTATACATAGTACTGCTATAGAACATGTGGTAGGTGTATACGTATTGCTGCTATAGAACATATGGTATGTGTATACATAGTGCTGCTGTAGAACATATGGTAGGTGTATACATAGTACTGCTATAGAACATATAGTAGGTGTATATATAGTACTGCTATAGAACATATGGTAGGTGTATACATAGTACTGCTATAGAACATATGGTAGATGTATACATAGTACTTTTACATATGTTATATTTGTCTCACCCGAGATTCGAACCCACACCCTCAGAGTCAGGCACCAAATCACACACAGTGTGCTGGCGATTTGAGTACTGGCGATTTGGTGCCTGACTCTATGGGGGCGTGGGCTCGAATCCCGGATAGGACTCAACCCAAAAATGAACTAGTATTTGTACTTTACTAAGGAAGTGTAATCCCAAATATAACATATATTGCATTTGACCACTGTCTAAATGGCATTGTGTAATCACATAGTATTGTTATAGAGCATGTAGGGAAGTGCATGCATAGTTTTGCATTAGAACATTTAGGTAGGTGCATGCGTAGCATTGCAGTAGAACATTTAGGTACTGCATGCATAGTACTTTACTAGAACATTTAGGTAAGTGTATGCATAGTATTGTGCTAGAACATTTAGGTAGTTGCATGCATAGTATTGTGTTAGAACATTAGTTTGGTGCATGCATAGTATTGTTATAACATTGGGTAGGCGCATGCATAGTATTGTGTTAGAACATTGGTTTGGTGCATGCATAGTATTGTGTTATAACATTAGGTAGGCGCATGCATAATATTGTGTTAGAACATTAAGTAGGCGCATGCATAGTATTGTGTTATAACATTAGGTAGGCGCATGCATAGTATTGTGTTAGAACATTAGGTAGGCGCATGCATAGTATTGTGTTATAACATTAGGTAGGTGCATGCATAGTATTGTGTTATAACATTAGTTTGGCGCATGCATAGTATTGTGTTAGAACATTTAGGTAGGCGCATGCATAGTATTGTGTTATAACGCATGCATAGGCGCATGCATAGGCGCATTGTGTATTGTGTTAGAACATTGGGTAGGCGCATGCATAGTATTGTGTTAGAACATTGGTTTGGTGCATGCATAGTATTGTGTTAGAACATTTAGTTTAGTGCATGCATAGCTGTTGCGACTAACAAACCTCCACAGTATCAACGGCGTACCAGCGTGTGCGGACAAGGCCTTGCTCACAGACATACTTCGGGGAGAGTGGAACTTCAAAGGATATATCGCCTCTGACGCCGGCGAGCTTACCTCCATCATTACAAACCACCACTACCTCAACAACAGCGTCGATACGGCGGCGGCGTGTCTGAACGCCGGCTGCAACCTGGAACTGCAAGGGGAGACTGGAAGATTTATAACTCTATCAGTAAGTATCGGTGTCAGAATGTACCGCTTGTTGGGGTCATGGCAGTCGTCGTTTAGAAATGTTGGAGCTGATTTCAATGTCTACCTGTTGTATTTTTGATCACTGTATTTTCACAAAGTAGAATATCTACTAAGTCATGTATCAATCGACCATCGAAGACCACGCAGGTTCAGAGGGCCATTTGCATTGCAAACTACCTAGACTAACAACTAGTCACTGACATGACCATATTTTACAAAATGTTCCTAAATTGTAATCATAAAATATAATGAAAAGGAGCCCAGAGACTTTCTTCATTTTCATAAACTGTGGAAATCTAGACTTGCCACATATTCTAGACTTGCATGGGCTCTCTTGGATGTATTTGTGTCAGGGTCTGTATGACAGACTACCAACTACCATTTACAGAATTTGGGAGACTATATTCTGATTGGTCAATCAGAGGTTTCTAAACACCATAAACTTCTTTGAGAGGCATTTGAGAAGTTGTAAAACTGAGGGAAAACCAATTCTATGCGAGATTCGGTGTAGGTACTAACATCGTTATCACCGGTATCAGTATCTACACCATACGTCGCATTCATTGCTTGATAACGGTATTAGTACCTACACCGAAACGTCGCATTCATTGCAATAAAGAAGTTGACTATCCGTGGAACTCGGTTTTCTTTCACCATAAACTTCTCAGATTTAACCTCCCAAAAATAAAATTTTCAGATAAGTTATTTCTCAGTCATTGCATGTAAACATTTTAAAATAATGGCGTGTACAATCAGAGGTTAACAATACCCACAATTACGGTGATTGTTCTGTACCAGGTGTGTCAGGCAATACATTCATTTTTGCAGACAAAATACAGAGAATAGTCTGCACGTCAAGTTTTAGGAATTGTTTCTACATTTGACTGTGACGTCATATCTTTTGCGCTGCGCGTGACTTCAAGCCGATATGCGATGTAGAACCCAGCAAAGCTAGCTCCTTCAGTGGTTCAGTGGTACCCACATCATGTTGTCTTTACGAAATACATGTGATGCACATGCTACATACGTGTCATATGTGAGAGCGTAGAAACACAATGTTAGGATGAAGACAGCACCAGACTTTAATGAAGGTTTGGTACCCAGCAGAGACACAACGTTTTCGCCACCCTGTGGGAAGGTTGTGGGCATAGGACGCCACTGCGGGTCAGAAAATCGATAAACTAAGCCCCGGTTTAGTCTCCAGCCCCCCTACTGTATAGTATGTGAAGGTTCGTCAAAGAAATACGGCGACATGATCGAAAACCGCACAATTACGCACACATCAATCAATATATCGTATTTTCAAAGTCTCACAAGTACCAAAAGCTTTTGTCCATATCCCTGATGTGTGTAGGAGGCATGTACCCAAGCTTTCCGTGGGGATGCATTTGTTTGTTTTTATTAAATCGCTTAAGACCGAGTTGCTGTGCCGGAAGTATACAAAACTAGGTCGTCAGCGCTTGTCTTGACTACCACCGACAATCAAGTTGGTTAATAAAATGAAAACAAATGCACGTGCAAAAATGAGAGGGAAATTCAAACGCCTTCCATCCCCGATATCACGAGTAAAAATATGTTTTGAAGAAACACATAATAATCCATTCATTCAGTGTTATGCGTTAGCCAATTAGATCGCCGGAGATAGTGAAGTCAAGCGCAAATGCAAAATGGCGAATAACCATTGATGTAACTTTCTGCTTATGTACTGTTCGCTGCTGGGAATACTATTTAACTATTAACGTTGAACAGAACGTTAAGACAACGTAAAGTACGTCAGGCCACAACGTTGTGACAACGTATATGGGAGTCCACCGAATAACGTTGTAACGACGAAAGCATAACGTTGTGACAACGTGAAATTGTTACCAAGGTATTCGTGTTTCCAAACTGACAACCTGTTGACTCAATACCTTCTCTAAAACAAAACAAAAAAACACATGATTTTTGCTAGATTATTAAGGCTCAAATGAACATTTGAGAGTTCACGCAGCGTTTGGTCCCAAATGAAACGGAAATATTTTACCTTGTTTATGTTGCCAAATTGATTTGTCTTGTTCTATTGTTTTAGTAACGTATTCTTTATAGAAAGCCTGCCCTTTGATCGAAGCGTATTATTGCCAACATACGCTTACATTAAGTACCAAGTGAATGTCTAGTCCAATCAGTTAACGTATTGTAGCCTTTGATAGTTCTCCCTCAAGAATGAACATCCTAATATGCCTATTCATCATAGGCTGACCTGTTTCTGGGAGGTTCGCCGTCCAATCCGTAGTGCACACTGCTGGACCACGTTATACTGTTTTGAGAGACATTTTCAGAAGTTGTAAAGATGAAGGATAACAAGTTCTATGGATAGTCAACTTCTTTATTTCAATGAGTGCGACGTTTGAGTGTAGATACTAACACCGTTATCAAGCAAGTGATGCAGAGATTAGAAACAAAGAGAATATATACATAGCTGCAAGTGATACAACGTAACACTTGTGTGTTCTAGTTCCTGCCATCGAACAAGGCAAGTTGACTGAAGACTTCGTCCGGGAGAGTGTAAAACCTCTCTTCTATACCCGCTTCCGGATCGGGGAGTTCGACCCACCCAGCATGAACCCTTATTCCACTCTGGACAAGGATGAAGTTGTCCTCAGCTTGGAACACAGGGAGCTAGCACTCAGGGCGGCCATCAACACATTTGTGTTGTTGAAGAACGACAAAAACACACTGCCGCTCAAGAAGAACTTCAACAAAATAGCTGTTGGTATCATTGGAAATGATGTTTTCATAGAAAAGCATTGGTTGTTTTATCAATCACTATAACGTAATGCACAGCTAGTTATTGATTTAATTGGATTGGATTTTATGTTGCTGAACGCCACACTCAGCAATATTCCAGCTATATGGCGGCCGTCTGTAAATAATTGAGTCTGGACAAGACAAGATAGTGATCAACAGCTGGGATACGATGACGTGTCAACCAAGCCAGCGAGCCTGACCACCCGATCCCGTTAGTCGTCTCTTACAACAAGAATGGGTTACTAAAGATAATTCTAACCGTAACAGACCATAGTATACCCTAGACCAAACTATACCCGGGATTAAAGCAGCCTAGGTTAGAATATATCCTGGGTATATTATGGCCTAGGCCAATTCATACCACACAGGACAGATTATAAACCCCACCCCACCCACCCCACCCCACCCAGGGACGGTGGGGTAGCCTAGTGGTTAAAGCGTTGGCTCGTCACGACGAAGGTGTCCCCCGCCATGATGCTGCTGGAATATTGCTAAAAGCGGCGTAGACCTAAACACACTCATATTGTATAGCCCAGCTTAGATATACCTGGGTTAAAGCGGCCTAGGCTTGATTATACCTGGGTATATTATGTCCCAGACCAATTTATACTCCAGGTTTAAACTGACCTAGACCAACTCATATCGCTCAGTTAACTTTTCTCTTCATAATGTGATAACATGTATAATCTTCTGAAACTTCAGCTTCTAAGTGCTCACTGCTGTATGTGTAACTGTACCAGTTAAACGCTGATAACAACATCAAAATGATCATGATTGTTTAATATACTGTGTTAATTCTGTCAAAGCCTATATTCTGGCCTGGAGGGGCACAGTCTACCTAGGCTGTTTTACACACCGGGTATAGTTTGGCCTAGGACAATTTATTCCCCGGGGTATAATCTTGCCTGGGCCAAACTATACCCGTGTTTAATGTGGACAGGGGCTGATCTGGCCTGTTACACCTGTACACCGGTTTCACGGGTATCCTTACGTCAGGGTAATGTATGAGCATCCTTCAGTTATTGAGACGATCTTAATCATAGTTTTAAAAACTGTCCTCTCACCAGTCACAAGTATATAAATAAAAGGTCTATCGTTTAAATTCACCACCACAAAGTTTACAAATACTTAATATTACCAATTACTTAAAGGGTGTGCTGGAAGACGGCAGTGTACATTGTCCTGTCAGCAGTCAACTGTTTTAGCCCACTGTCAACTCCGTGGGTCATTAATATGTCTTCCCCACATGCAGTGTCAGTGGATTACCCCACAGATGTATTTTACAGAAAACTCAATTTTTTTAAAGCACTCCTTTTTCAATTCAGTAAATATTTCCGTCTTGGCTAAATTCATCAAAAAGGATTATACATGGGATATACGTACATTATTTCTCCGGATTTTGATGATTATGCAAACAAATGTAGTTTATAAGGTTCATAAGTTTTTACCCTGCATGTGTGGCCGGACCGAACTTTGATTACCTTTGGACATCTTTTGTAATGAACCAAGTTTGTCGGCCTGGGTTCATTAACAACAGGTTTGAAAATCGCCTGTGTTAGGTGTCCTTGGGGCCCTTCCCCATTTATGTTTTTGTGAAAAGCAGCAGCCGAATTGTCGACAGGTGCAAATAATGCTATTAAATTACAAGCTGCAGTTATGATATTCTTCATAAGCAGAGTCAGTTGGTTAGAGAAAGAGGCTACAGAAAAGTTATCCTAAAACCTCCATCCAAGCCAAGTTCAACATGCTGTATGTACATGGCTTGTGATCAGTGCTATATCAAAAGCTGACTCGCTGTTGTCGTGTCAACATATGTGTGAGACATCTTGGTGTGACTCATCTGTGATAATTAATCTCTCTCTGAGGGGGTAAGTTTGGGGGGGTTGGGTGGGGGGTCTCTAGGGAAGGATTGGCTTTAAGCAACAGGTGCGCTGAATAAATTGTATTCTTTGTTTGGAAATGCCACGCCTTTTAAATCAAGATCGTCAAGGTGCTATGTGGAGGCTTGATGCTTGTAGTCGCTGTTGCAAGAGGCTTTAATTGCTCACGACAAACAATTTTTAATCTTAGGATAAGAGTGCTTCGACCGACCGTCAGTATGTAAGGTTATGCAATGATGGTCGTGGACGAAGCCTGGTGATGAAACATAAACAGATGCTTTGTTCCAACTGTGTACTGTAATTTTGTTGTTGCAGGTAGTTGGGCCGATGTCCAACGACAGTCAGGATCTGTTCGGGGACTACACAGCCTTTCCAGATCCCCGTTTTGTCGTCACACCGTACATGGGGCTCAAGAGACTAGCCAGCACGGTGTCCTTGGCCTCGGGATGCAATGACACCTGGTGTCAGAAGTATGATGCCCAGGCAGTGACAGCCGCCATATATGGAGCAGATGTTGTCTTTGTCTGTCTTGGACATGGTAAGTGGACGAGTCTGTCTGAGGCGACAAGTGTCACGGCTCTTGTAGGTAGCTTGACAAACTACGTGGCCTCAAGATCGCAATGCAAACTGAATAAAGGATCACACTGCAAATTGAATAAAGGGTCACAACGCAAACTGACTTAAGGATCACAATGCCAATTGTATAAAGGATCGCAATATAAATTGAATAAAGGACCACAAGGCAAATCGAATAAAGGATCGCAATATAAATTGCCATAAATTGAATAAAGGATTACAATGCAAACTGAATAGAGGGTCACAATGCAAATTGAATAGAGGGTCACAATACACATAGCCTCTAATATTTGCACTACATGAGCAGAACTACCCATGTCCTCGACTGCACCTGCCTCCACGTGTTTAGATATATTATACTACGGTGATGGCCATCCGACATACATCAGTGATAGCTGCACCATTTGACACAAATATGACGTCACCCCTGGTGTACTGTTTGTTATAGGTACCTCTGTTGAGTCTGAGGGTAAGGACCGGACCACCATACTGCTGCCGGGCAGCCAGCTGCAGCTGTTGAAGGACGTCGTCGCCAACAGTAGGTACATCTGGAGACGTTGGTAAATGTCACCGTCTGATAAATCTTGAGGTAAAGCCCTGGTCATACAGTATAAGGAAGAGAGAAAGCTTACCCCTCTTTTCAGTTGTATCACAGCAAGTAGCACATTGCCATGGTGTAGACCGAAGTGATACCTATCATGGATGTTAAACATTTTGCAATATCATAAGGCTCTAAAGTGCTATGTAACAAACCAAGGATCATAAAATATGATCAGAGCCAACCTGGGCTTCGAATCCTGACACGCCTAAGGAAACGAAGACCGGTATCTTTGACAACCCATCAATGCCTTGGGACTAGAAGGAATTGAAAATAAAAGTAATTTCTTACACATGAAATACTGGATCATATTTCAGCCTCGAAGCCGGTTGTGCTGTTATTGTTTAATGGCGGTCCTGTTGAGATATCCTGGGCCGTGGACAACCCTGGAGTGTCCGCCATCTTGGAATGTTATCTTCCTGGTCAAACTGCTGGAGACGCTGTGTACATATCCCTGACTAACAATGGTTCATTCTCTGCCCCTGGGGGGAGACTGAGCTACACATGGCCAGCCAGTGATGAGCAGGTACTCATACAGTTAGAAGTATATATCCCTGACCAACTATGGTTCATTCTCTGCCCCTGGGGGGAGGCTGAGCTACACATGGCCAGCCAGTGATGAGCAGGTACTCCTATAGTTAGAAGTATATATCCCTGACCAACTATGGTTCATTCTCTGCCCTTGGGGGGAGGCTGAGCTACACATGGCCAGCCAGTGATGAGCAGGTACTCATACAGTTAGAAGTATATATCCCTGACCAACTATGGTCATTCTCTGCCCTTGGGGGAAGACTGAGCTACACATGGCCAGCCAGTGATGAGCAGGTACTCATACAGTTAGAAGTATATATCCCTGACCAACTTTGGTTCATTCTCTGCCCCTGGGGGAAGACTGAGCTACACATGGCCAGCCAGTGATGAGCAGGTACTCATACAGTTAGAAGTATATATCCCTGACCAACTATGGTTCATTCTCTCTGCCCTGGGGAGACTGAGCTACACATGGCCAGCCAGTGATGAGCAGGTACTCATACAGTTAGAAGTATATATCCCTGACCAACTTTGGTTCATTCTCTGCCCTTGGGGGAAGACTGAGCTACACATGGCCAGCCAGTGATGAGCAGGTACTCATACAGTTAGAAGTATATATCCCTGACCAACTATGGTTCATTCTCTGCCCTTGGGGGGAGACTGAGCTACACATGGCCAGCCAGTGATGAGCAGGTACTCATACAGTTAGAAGTATATATCCCTGACCAACTTTGGTTCATTCTCTGCCCTTGGGGGGAGGCTGAGCTACACATGGCCAGCCAGTGATGAGCAGGTACTCATACAGTTAGAAGTATATATCCCTGACCAACTTTGGTTCATTCTCTGCCCCTGGGGAAGGACTTCCTGGGAAGACTGAGCTACACATGGCCAGCCAGTGATGAGCAGGTACTCATACAGTTAGAAGTATATATCCCTGACCAACTTTGGTTCATTCTCTGCCCTTGGGGGGAGGCTGAGCTACACATGGCCAGCCAGTGATGAGCAGGTACTCATACAGTTAGAAGTATATATCCCTGACCAACTTTGGTTCATTCTCTGCCCCTGGGGGGAGGCTGAGCTACACATGGCCAGCCAGTGATGAGCAGGTACTCATACAACGAGAAGTAAATCAGACATGACAATGGTTGTTCATTACCACGTTATTCTTTGAGTGGCATTTTTAGAAGTTGGAGAGTCAGATAAGGACAAACTTTATGGATGAACAACTTCTTTATTCAGGTGATGCGACTTTTCAATACAAATTCTTGTATCGTTGTCAAACAGATATATACAGAATTCTAATTCAATTTAGTACGTAACACGAGTTCTGATTGGTCAAACACAGTACAGTTATCCCCTAAATCTGTATCGAAACGTCGCATCAGGTGAATAAAAAAAGTTGTTCATCTATAACGATTGTCCTTATCTACCATGTTATTGTTCCATTATAAAGGGCTTGCATGTTGCATGTGGACAGTCCGTAGATGTTGATCATTAGCATAAGATGAACAGATATTAAGTGAAACAAGTTTATTCTGTTCCTTTATCAGAGTAACACAGAATTACTAAGCGCACTAACCATGTTTTCAGATTCCAGCTATGACCAATTACTCTATGGCGGAGCGGACGTACTGGTATTTCACCCAAGAACCACTTTTCCCATTTGGCTATGGGCTTTCCTACACAACGTTTAAATATTCGAACTTCAGCTTCGACAAGGAAGTGAATGCTGGTGATGACTTGTCGGGAAGGCTGATTGTAAACAACACCGGGAACTATGATGGAGATGAAGTAGGTCCAGTCATAAACAGAACTGTTTGTCACATTTTGTGAATAGTTAGCTGTAGCACGACATGTTAGAATATGTTTATCGTACATATTTACTGTTTATAGAGCACCTGTTTTTCTACTTGTGTGCTTGACTGGGTGCATGTGTATAGGTAAGAACCGGTACGATGTTAGCAAATGAAATTTTGCCACAGTAGATCTACATCTGTACCGAAGTATCATAAAATAGAACACCTGCACTAGATTGATCACAAACGATAGGTGTGTTACCCCGGAGGTTAAATGTGTATTTAGATCTCACGATTTTATGACTTGAAACTAAATTTATAATGAAAAGTGATATATAACAAGAAAGTAATCTGATCATAGCACAGGGTGGGCATTGGATCCTTGTCAAACTAGCAAAGTCATCAAGTGTAGGAAATGTGAGCGACTTTTTTATTTACTCAAGTCTTTAATGAGTAGCTGGTCGACTCAACTTGAGATGTACTCATAAGGGCAGGTGCAGACTTCGGAATCTATTCCAATCAGAAGGGGAGTATTCCAGGGGGACTCCTTCAGTCCTTTGCTTTTTTGTCTGTCTTTAAATCCTTTGAGCTCAATAAAGAGGAGGGTTACCATCCAAGCAATCCTCAGCACAGATCACCAACATCACTTACTTATCTCCTTTACATGGATGACATCAAGCTCCTTGCCAAAGGAGATACCAATTGAAAGAACAGGTTCTCTTTGTCGAGCCCTTTTCTAATGATTTTGGCATGACATTTGGACTCGACAAATGTCATACTCTTCATTTGAAACATGACAAAGTAAATAATGATTGATCGGTCAAGTAATAAGTGAAAGGAGTTATTCAGCATCCTGTGGAAGATCAGGCCTATCTTGGAAAGCAAGTTCGAGACAAACTCCAGAATGCACAGATTCAAGACAAACTTCGGGCTGAGTATAAATCTCGCTTAAAGAAAACCTGGAGCTCTGAGCTAAATGCTCGAAACAATGTCAAAGCTACCAATACCTTTGCTGTGCCAGTCCTTTCCTATTCCTTTGAAGTAGTTGATTGGACTAAACAAAATACCTAGAGTCTTGACCGCCTGACCAGAAAGATCATGTCTGATAACAGAGCCCACCACCCTCGTTCCTCTCTCAATCGTTTATTATGCCAATAAATTCTGTAGGTCGGGGTCTGAGTAATGTGGAGGCTCTTCATGATGGAATTCTTTTGTGCACTTTTGCACATATTTATTTTTCGGATGGTCCTCTGGTGATATATGTAAAGAGTCAAGATGAAAGCAAGGAATTCCACAGCTATTTTAAGCGCGCTAGGGTTGTTGGATAGAATCTGAAATTTGAGGTTGAATTTGTTGATGGCGTTGTACCTTCACCAAGTCTGCCCAGAGTCGGTCTTATGTGGAGAAGCTTTCTGAGAAACCACTGTACCGTGTATATATGCAGTGTGGGAACAGAAAAGTCATCCCACTGACTCCTTTGCCTGGATGAAGTCGGCTGGTCTTAAATGTGAAACTGAGGGTTTTCAATTTTTGCTGGCCATGACCAGTCAGTTCCCACTCGTAATTGCCAAAATGTGATTCTTAAAGAAATACCAATATGAAATGTCGACTTTCCAATGAATTCACAGAGTGTCCAACACTTTGTCGGTGGATGCTCTTCCTTGACACAAACAGCATATCTTAAACGACATGATGGCATGGCTCGTTGCTTTTACTACCGTCTCCGCCATGTCTGTGGCTTTGACTCTGAGGTCCATCCATGGTACGACCCTGAACATGCCTAGGGCGTCATGGAAAAAGATGCTTTCAAATTTCTGTGGAATAGGCCTATCTACAGCCTCAGAAGAATTCCAGCCAACAAACCTGATCTTGTCCTTTTTGATAAAGCCAATGAATTTATTTATATCATTGAATTTTCTGTCCCTTTTGACACCAATGTGATTGGCAAGATTCAGGAAAAAAGCATGCTAAATATGCGGACCTCGCCTCTGAAATGTCTCGCTTGCCTCCCAAGTACACTGTCGTCAGGCTCCCCATTGTTCTCGGTGCCCTTTGCCTGGTACCTCCTGATCTCTTGACACAGATCAGGAGAGTGCCCGGGTTCTCCACCGGGAGCACACCCCTTCTGACACTCTGGATAATGCAGAAGGCTGCAGTGTTGGGGAGTCTACATATTCTCCGGAAGGTTCTTTGTGGGTTCGACTAGGCAGCGTTTCCTGGGAGAAGTCCCATTCGCTGGCTGGGTTGCGTGTAGAAGGGACAAGGGCCCTGAGCTGATGATGAGCATTACCAGCCTGACTGTGCTAAGATCACCGGAACCCTCTCTGATGCATTTTTCATCTTAATCTGTAAAACATAACAATGTGTCCATTTATATAGCGCCAAACCCCACACTAGATATGCTCATAGCACTAACAAGCAATAGCACAGCACGGAATTACCCCGGAATACCCAAGTTACCTAAGAAGGTTAAAGTCACATGACTTATCCCACTGGGTACCCATTTTCTGCTACCTGTTCGGGTGACACTGCTACAAAGAAGCGTACATCAGACGGTATTACCCTCGAGAGAAGCATACACCTTATAATAAACACTATAAGATTCTTAAATACTAATGTGAAACATTCAGTGAATACTTCATGTGTCTTTATTTTTTGTTCACCAATATTCAACTCAGACGTCGTAAATTCTTTACCTTTCCGGACTAAGTATGTCGTTCTGTGGTCAAATGTAGTTTTCTGTATATTTCAGGTAATTCAGGTGTATATCTCATGGCAGAATGCATCAATGACTGTGCCCCAGGTGAAGCTGGTTCAGTTTCTACGTGTAGGTGTACAACAAGGATGGTATATAGGCTTCGGTTTCAGTATAGCGGCAAGGGACATGGCGGTCTGGCAGGATGATGTTGGATGGGTCATTAAACAAGGCGAGTACATGCGTGCTTCCTTAAATGCTAATAGTCTCCGCGTTGAGCTGTCTTTACAAAAACATTGTGTTGGTCCTTGGTGTTTAGAACAAAATCCTGTATTTACAATTCTGTCGATGAATTTGCTCGAATTTTGTGTGAGATTATATTTTGATCATATTACGTAAGAGACCATTCTTTCATCATATTACGAGTGAGATTATTGTTTGATCATATTACGAGTGAGATTATTGTTTGATCACATTGCGTAAGAGATTACTCTTACATCATCTTACGTTTGAATATATGCTTTAACCACATTCATGTAATAATTGTTGATTGATATGAAATGTCAAATCTGAATTTAGTCTAAATAAACTTCATGCCTTATTAGTAACTTCAGAAAGTGCAAAATAGACCCGTGAAGATCCGGGTTAGAGTTGAGTGGGTGAGTTGGGTTTTACGCCGTTTTTAGCAATATTCCAGCAATATCACGACGGGGTACACCAGAAATGGGCTTCACACACTGTACCCACGTGGGGAATCGAACCCGGGTTATCGGCGTGACGAGTGAACGCCTTAACCACTAGGCTACCTCACCGCCCCGGGTTAGAGTTGATCTTCAGCAACCCGTGCGTGTCGCAACGGGATCGGGTGGTCAGGCTCGCTGACTTGGTTGACACATGCCATCTAATCCAAAGTGTAGATCGATGCTCATTCTGTTCACTGGATAGTCTGGTCCCGACTAGAATATTTACAGACCGCCGCCAGTCCAGCTGGAATACTGCAGAGTGCGGCGTTAAACAACAAGCATGCAGTGCCAAAGAATATCCTGTCTTGACTATACTCAGAAACATATCACGTTTGCTGTAAAAAAAGGGATAATAGAAGTGAAAATTATATGAACGGTTCATTGAAATCAGTGACGACTCCAGGAGTTCGCGAAAAGGAAAATCGGCCATTCAGAACATTTGCCTGTAAGTGGAAGTATTTTATGCCTGACGCTGCGCAGTGGTACTCCTGCCATGGGACGGGGTCTGTAAATAACTGACAATCAGGTGATCGATCAACCGAAAACTCCAGTTAGAAAATGTGGAACTACAACTGCTGTGTAGAAGTACAGAGATCCCGATGCTAATAAGTAAAACTGGGAAAAAGATTAGTTGTGCAGCACACTGGGAGTAAGTTTTAAAGTCTCGTACCAAACATTTATTTTGAAGTGGACTCAACATACTTGAATATACTACTGAGCAATTGATGAATCTAGGGGACTTCAGTCCACCAGCAGAATACAATCGACCCAGTTTAATCAATTATAGAACGTCATTGCAAAAGAATACTCAGTCTTCACTATTATCAGAAGCAAATTCAATTGGTGTAAAAGGAAAAAGATAGCAATGGAAATTATATGAACGGTGAAACAAGAAAAATGTTAGCAATGAAAGTTATAGGAATGTATCACTGAATATTAGTAATGACACCGGGTGTTGGCGAAAAGGGTAAGCAAGCCCCTATCCATAGCACCCGCCATTCACAAACTTGGCCTCTGATGGAAATACTTGTTTTGCCTGTGATGAAACGTCTTGTGGCTTCTAAATCTAAGCTATTGAAATAAATTATCCCTTAAGAAGTCAGCGGACAATTGTCACAGCGATGCAACTGACGGCTTGTAAAGAACACTTAACTATGTGAGTAAATATTGATTTCTCCTCAGGTGTGATGAATATCTACGTCGGTGGGCAACAGCCAAACCAGACACGTACAGTCAGCTCCAATGTAGAACACGGACAGTTCACCATTGTTGGTGAAAAGATATTAGGAAGATTTTAATGAACATCGTTCACCTTGAATTCCTTAACTAGCACCTGTGTTTTTTAACTATAAATAAACATCCATTTATCCTTACCTTGTATGTTTTGTCAACACCAGGTTATTGCTTCAAACAATGCAAGATGGGTTTATGGTTTCTCTCCGTATCGCACACGCACGCACGGACGCACAAACACACACTCACACACGTGTATGAATGTGTGTATATGTGTGTTTCCGTGTGTATAATCTCCTGTGCTGCTTGTATTGGTACGAAGTAATGCCAGATTACTGACAGTAGCCAACTCACATACCCAGCTGTGATTAACATATGGATTTACTGACGCCATACAGACAAGTCATACACTCAATGTCGGAACTCCAGGCAACAATTTATTTTGAAAATTCAATCTGACGCGGCTCGGTACTTAAACACTTTCAGCTCTCAGAAATGTACTTTGCCGGTATAGGATTGTGGTGGCATAATCCTGTAAAGTTTATGAAACAAGTATAGTCTTCCTCGAAACAGAGATGTGATGTAACCACTGATAAGGTGAGTGAGTGAGTTCAGTTGTACGCCGCTTTTAGCAATATTCCAGCAATATCACGGCGGGGACACCAGAAATGGGCTTCACACATTGTACCCATGTGGGGAATCGAACCCGGGTCTTCGGCGTGACGAGCGAACGCTTTAACCACTAGGCTACCTCATCACTCCCACACCCCCAAGGAAATAGCAATTATTTGCAGATAATTAAGCACTGGTTGCAAAGAGTAAGATCAAATTAAAAGACGGTTGAAGGCTTCGAATAAAACAAAACGCAATTCCTGAAGTTTGGAGAGGTGACAATCCCAAAATTACTTTTTGTTGACACACCCAAAGAAAATCAGGGAATCGCTGATTCAGCTGTTTGATTTGTTGCTGGTGGAATCTAAACTTACCTGGGTGTTTTGTTGTTGTTGTTGCTACTAATGATATCCTTGGATATTTCTTTTGTTAAGTCGCTGCTTACCAAACTTAACTCCGTATGAGATTCTGATGATTGCAGTTAGTGGTTCCTGTGTGAACAGTAATGTTGATGTCGCCGCTAGAACAAAGACCGTGTCATCACCATTTGGTTCCCCACGAAATGTACTAAATTTGTTTTTTCACTGGAAAGACGTATCATCTTGCAAACATCCCCCACACAGTAATATCATACAGTGTCTGTCTATGGTCAAATCGACCTGTGGTTTGCTTGGTGAACTGATGAAGAGTAACTTTCTTACTGATGAACATGATGATTCAAAGGACGCTAATGGATCTTTTTGTCTTTAGTAAAAGATAAGAAAAGATTTATAGGACGTTTGTTCAATTTATTTCTATTCTTTGATGGTATATACTGAAATGAGTCGTCGGAAATTACTAATTCTCAAAAGGACTGAATGAAATAACGTCCAAGCAAACACACACATGAAATAGCGTAAGCATATGAAAATAGCTATACATTAGATGTGCGTCTATAATGTATGATTAGTTTGCAATTGTACAATATTCTTCTGATGCTATACTGGTACAAATACAAACGACATTAAAATACATATTATGTAATACGTGTTGATCAAATATAGAACAACAACGCCAGAGAAAAACAACAGTTTTCATTCAGAAACATTGGCTTTTAAAGTCATAATTGCATATTGCAAGTAACTCGTAACAAAAATGGCATTGCTCTTGATGTATACACTGTGGCAGAAAACAGCTTCATGAAAACATTCCATTGTGTAGACTAGTCCACCATTGTGTAGACTAGTCCACCATTATCAATGTGGAGTGAATGTAGCTAGTTGTATATATCGTTTATTCGTTTTTTAGGCCATCGGCCCATGTACATCGTTGGACATTAATATATGATGGTATAGTGAAAGTGACAATGATTATACATTGTGGAGAGAAAAACAATGTTTAACATATTTTGCTACATTTAGAATAATTTCATGATCTTTACTGCATACTAGTAACTTATAAGAATAAGTAGTAGGGTTATCAGAAAATCTAGATGGTATATATTTTCTCCTTATCAAATTATACATTGGGCAGACAAACAAAAAGTGTATAACATCTTCATCTACATTATCATTACAATTCTTACAGAAACACAAACATTCATTTATACCCTACCGACGACCAATAGTTTAATCTGAGCAAACATAAATATCTCCTCAACTCCCAGTTTCTAATTTTCATGATATAATATTCTGTATCAAAACATGATTTTAACTGGAGATAATATTTTAACCTATCAGATGTACTTATATTATTAAAAATTACCTGTATATTACATTCATATATACGTTGCTTAAATAGCATTAAAAACATATCCACATTACCAATATCCTGAAACAGTCACACATCACCAAATCCGAAAAGTTATTGCCTTACACCTCTTGCCCATGTTGTCCTGCCAGATTTATCGAGTTGTTTCATTAAAAGATAACTCTGCCTGGGATACCTATTATTATCCATCCTCAAAAGTTTGCACCAATACTTAACACATTTACATGATAATCTACATACAATTGATGTCTACCACACTCCGACAAAACAGCATTACTAGAATTATATTTGCTAACCCCTAGCACAAACTTATAGAAATTAGAATAAAATGATTCTAGCACTGAATATCTCTGAAATCCTTCGGCACCATACAATAACACAGGTTTAATTTGAATGTTGAACAATTTAATTGAAATATTAGCTGGCAATCCTGGGAACTTAAAAAGTAACTTTTGATGAAAAAAAGAGCCTTATTTCCTTTGTAACCTTTATCTGAGAGCCACTAAAGAACCATTTTTCATAATGTAGCTACAAGATTCCGAGAGGTACATATTCATGTCATACATGTATGTTCCACTAAGTTGGAGATTAACGTTATCGACAACGCTTAATACATTACAAGTGGGAGCAAGACAACTGGATGAAGCCTGATGGAGAGCCTGAACAGCAAATAGTACACGGGCAATGACGCCATATGTAGAGTAAGAACAGATAATAGCACACGGCCAATGATGCTATATGTAGAATATAAACAACAAATAGCACACGAACAATGAAGCCATATGTAGAATATAAACAACAAATAGCACACGGGCAATGAAGCCATATGTAGAATATAAACAACAAATAGCACACGGCCAATGAAGCCATATGTAGAATATAAACAGCAAATAGCACACGAACAATGAAGCCATGTGTAGAGTAAGAACAGTAAATAGCACACGGCCAATGACGCCATATGTAGAGTAAGAACAGCAAATAGCACACGGCCAATGATGCCATATGTAGAATATAAACAACAAATAGCACACGAACAATGAAGCCATGCGTAGAGTAAAAAAGTAAATAGCACACGGCCAATGACGCCATATGTAGAGTAAGAACAGCAAATAGCACACGGCCAATGATGCTATATGTAGAATATAAACAGCAAATAGCACACGAACAATGAAGCCATATGTAGAATATAAACAACAAATAGCACACGGGCAATGAAGCCATATGTAGAATATAAACAACAAATAGCACACGGCCAATGAAGCCATATGTAGAATATAAACAGCAACTAGCACACGAACAATGAAGCCATGCGTAGAGTAAGAACAGCAAATAGCACACGAACAATGAAGCCATATGTAGAATATAAACAACAAATAGCACACGAACAATGAAGCCATGCGTAGAGTAAAAAAGTAAATAGCACACGGCCAATGACGCCATATGTAGAGTAAGAACAGCAAAAAGCACACGGCCAATGAAGCCATATGTAGAGTAAGAACAGCAAATAGCACACGGCCAATGAAGCCATATGTAGAATATAAACAGCAAATAGCACACGAACAATGAAGCCATGCGTAGAGTAAGAACAGCAAATAGCACACGAACAATGAAGCCATATGTAGAGTAAGAACAGCAAATAGCACACGAACAATGAAGCCATATGTAGAGTAAGAACAGCAAATAGCACACGAACAATGAAGCCATATGTAGAGTAAGAACAGCAAATAGCACACGGGCAATGAAGCCATATGTAGAATATAAACAACAAATAGCACACGGCCAATGACGCCATATGTAGAGTAAGAACAGCAAATAGCACACGGCCAATGATGCCATATGTAGAATATAAACAACAAATAGCACACGAACAATGAAGCCATGCGTAGAGTAAGAAAAGTAAATAGCACACAGCCAATGATGCCATATGTAGAATATAAACAGCAAATAGCACACGGCCAATGATGCCATATGTAGAGTAAGAACAGCAAATAGCACACGGCCAATGAAGCTATATGTAGAATATAAACAACAAATAGCACACGGGCAATGAAGCCATATGTAGAATATAAACAGCAAATAGCACACGAACAATGAAGCCATGTGTAGAGTAAGAACAGTAAATAGCACACGGCCAATGACGCCATATGTAGAGAAAGAACAGCAAATAGCACACGGCCAATGATGCCATATGTAGAATATAAACAACAAATAGCACACGAACAATGAAGCCATGCGTAGAGTAAAAAAGTAAATAGCACACGGCCAATGAAGCCATATGTAGAGTAAGAACAGCAAATAGCACACGGCCAATGACGCCATATGTAGAGTAAGAACAGCAAATAGCACACGGCCAATGAAGCCATATGTAGAATATAAACAGCAAATAGCACACGAACAATGAAGCCATGTGTAGAGTAAGAACAGTAAATAGCACACGGCCAATGACGCCATATGTAGAGTAAGAACAGCAAATAGCACACGGCCAATGATGCCATATGTAGAATATAAACAACAAATAGCACACGAACAATGAAGCCATGCGTAGAGTAAGAAAAGTAAATAGCACACGGCCAATGACGCCATATGTAGAGTAAGAACAGCAAAAAGCACACGGCCAATGACGCCATATGTAGAATATGAACAACAAATAGCACACGGGCAATAAAACAGGCATCAATAACAGATATAACAAAATGTTACATAGTTCTCATGGTACCAACAGAAGCAAAACTGCAAAACATGTTGAACATTGTTCACCAGTGGTGTTCTAAATGGAGAC